GTAAGTTACATTGTTTGGATTTATGTAAAAGAAATATTCATTACATTCATATTTCTTTTTCTTGAAGAGGGGAAGTGTTATGTATGCAACATATTACATGTATATAATTTATATCTGACCAGTTGGTATTTCCAATATTATCATTGTTCTATTTTTAGAACATTAACTACATGTATGTACTAGAACTTTCTTAACTGTTGTAGAAAACTCATGCATTATATTTAGGTAGAAACTTCCGGAATGTTCTTTATTGTTGAAGTTGCTAGATTATGATTACTTTAGAACATAATAGACTTTTCTGGAATTTTCTAAGTTAATATATATAAAGGGACATTTATCATTACTCTTATCTTTTAAGTCATCAGTTACCTTTTAAGTCATCTATATATTTGGAGTATTATTCAACTTGGATATTAAGTGATTTATTGGAGCTTGAATTATTTTAAAATAGTTAAAATTATTCTTGTGGATTTTATTGTGGGAATTTATTCTAAAGTGTTCTTGGATTTTACTTGGATCTAACTGTGCAATTCAAAAAGGGATCATTCCAGGATCAGACTAGACATTTGAAATTTATATCTTTATTTGTACTTCAGGTATTTGTAAACATAAATTGTTCTTTAATTTTTCTTAAATAATTTTTCTGTAATAAATCTGTTATTGTTACAAGTTTTTTGCTGGCTTTTCTTTCTCGTTACGCTTGGCTCGTAACACCCCTAAAAGGGGCCAATCAAATTAATATGAGCAAAATTGAGCAAAAAAGACTACCCTAGAATGCTACAGACAAAGTTTGGTGATCATCCATCCTTTAATTCTGTAGATGTTTAAAGGTTTTTCTATTTTTAGCTCTGTTGACCCCTAAAAGGGGCCAATTGAAATGACATGAGCAAATTTAAGTGTGACTGTCACAAGGATACTACAGATCAAATTTTAGGTAAATCTGCCCAGCAGATTCAGAGAAGAAGACGATTATTGACGCATGACGACGGACGCGGGAGTATCCCACTTTGATACTAATAGCTCACCCTGCGCCTTCGGCTCTGGTTAGCTAAAAATATCAGTTATGATACAAATTTATTTCTGTATCAGCATCAAGAAAGCACCCTTCAAATGTCTGAGTAAATGTTAAATATACATTTTCATGCCCTAAATGGAAAAGACAACAATTTGAAGTCTGAAGTCAATCCTTTCAGTAACAAAAAAGATTAGAGCAAAAAGTATTCTCTATATTTATTTTTCTATAGTAAATTTAGTACTGAGGAGATAACAAAGTTTAGAGTAGATACCATTTATAATAATAATAATAAACAGAACAGTTCTGTTATATTAATAAAGATAATACTTAAAAAATATAACAGTTTCCAAGCAAATAGAGATAATTCTGGAAAAGAGGAGCTTAGGTGTTATAATTCTTATCACAAATGACAAAGGTGTTGATAACAAAGTCAAATTTCAGAAGAAAGAAACAAGTTGAGGTCACCACTAGAGCACCAAGCATGTAACCACTATAGGTGCAAGTGTGTTACCACTAGAGTGTGCCAGTCGTGTAACCACTAGAGCTCCAACCATGTAACCACTAGATCAACAAACTTGTAACCACTAGATTACAAAGTGTGAAACCACTAGAGCACCAAGCATATAATCACTAGACCTCCAAGTCATATAACCATTAGAACACCAAGTGTATAATGGCTAGAGCACCAAGCGCTTAACCCCTAGAACACTAAGCTAATAACTACTAGAGCACCAAGTGTCTAAACACTAGAGTGCCAAGAGTGTTACCACTAAAGTGTCTGCATGGTGTGTTACCAAGCAAGTCACAACTAGAGTTCCAAGCATCTAACCATTTGAGAGCTAAGCTTGTAGCTCCAAGCAAGCTTTTAAACACTAGACCACAGTGTGTTGCTACACGGTAATCGCTATTGGCCCACTGTTAGCGGTAGTACATTACGGGGACACCAGTGAAGAGCGGTTTCGGTAGAAACCGTAAGATTACGTTGAAAACCGTAACTGCGCCCTCTACATCCATGATGTCTACTGTAATAGCAAAAAGCGACGATGAAGCTGAAAAAATGATTTTACAACTTGAAACTTTGAACAGTGTCCGATTTGTGGCAATGACAAATGAGGAGGTAAGCTGTAAATACTTTTGCTGCTTAGTTTATCTATAAGAGCACCAAAAGTGCAACCACTAAAGCAATAACATTGTAACCACAAGAGCACCTAGTATGTAACCACTAGAGTATTAAGCTTCTAACCGCTAGAGCCATAAGCATGTGACTACTAGAGCTAAAAGCCCTACAACCACTAAAGCAACAAGCATTTTAAGACTAGTGCTCCAAGCATGTAATCACTAGAAACCAAACTTCTTACCACTACAACTCCAAGTTTGTAACCAATAAAGCTCCAAGTGTGCAACCACTAGAACACCAAGTGTGTATCAACTAATGCATCATGCATGGTACCACTAGAACACAAAGCATGTAACTGCAAGAGCACCAAGGATGTAGCCACTACAGCGACAAAAATCCAACTACTAGAGTACCAACCATGTTAACTACTAGAGCACCAAACTAGTAACCACTAGAGTGCCAAGCATATGATATCTCCACTAGAGGACCAAGCTTGTAACTACCAGAGCTCCAAGCATGAAACCACCAGAGCTCGAGGAGGTAACAACTAGAGTTCGAAGAGGTCATCACTAGAGCATCAAGCATGTAACCACTAGAACTCAAAGCATGTAATGATTAGAGCAACAAACGTGTAACCACTAGAACACCAAGACATGAAACCATTAAGGCACCAAGTGTATAACCACTAGAGCACCAAGAGCGTTACCACTACAGCACCAAACGTCAAACACTTGAGCGCCAAATATGTAACCACTTAATCACCTAGCCATGAAACCATTAGAGCACCAAGCGTCTAACCACTAGAGCACCAAGCATGTAACTATTAGAGCACCAAACATTTAAACACAAAAGTACCAAGCATGTAACCACTAGAGCTCCAAGCCATATAACCATTAGAACACCAAGAGTGTAACCACTAAAGTGCCAAGCGTGTAACCACTAGAGCATCAAGCATGTTACTACTAAATCACCAAACATCTAAACACTAGGGTACAAAGAGAGTAACCACTAAAGCGCCTGTTGTGAAACAACTAGAACACCAACATGTAACCATCATTCTTGCATATCAGACAGGATTATCTCCCGTTAACACCGGTGCTATTTACACCCCCATGTAAGACAAGTTGCGTGCTTTTAATAATGTCATTGTGGCGCACCTTTTATGAATGAAACGCGGACGCCTTAAGCGGAAAATATAAACATTTAAGGAAAACGCTGACGATATAGACAAAGAGGAAAAAAGCGGACGATATAGATATATAGTAAAATGACAGAGCATAGTTAAATTTATATTAAAGACCAAAAATTGGCTTTATAAAGTAACATATGAAAGACTTTAGTTATAAGCAGTAGTATTGTGTAGATATACATGTACTTGTATAGATATATAAATAGATATATAAAAGAAAATCTTATGATGCATAAATTTGAGTAGACTGAGTCAATTTGCATTCAAAAAGTATAAAATATATTTACGAAATGCAATAATCTTTTAAAATACCCTAAATTTATTTATTTATGTATGTTTTAAATTACGGGAAAAGAGCGGGCGTGAATTGTAATTAATTTTAAATGTATTGTGTTAAAACGCGCGGAGAAATGACATTTGTTAAGTATATAAAAGCTGTAAGGTTTAATTATTATAATAATTTAAAAAGACTTTAGTTTATTTATTTGTTCAAATTCTTAAATAATAATTGTTATGTAGATTAATTAACGTAATCAAGAAAAGGCGTAAAAAAATAAAATAGTTTTTTTATTTATTTATTTATTTATTTATTTTTATCCTGCTACTTGCTATTATATCAGCTGGATAAAGCCCTGCCGGATAAATTTATCTCTCTCGCTCACCAGATAAACCTTCTCCATCCCGACATCAACCATGTATTCTCTATATTTATTTATTTACTTATTTACTTATTTATTTATTTATTTATTTATTTATTTATTTGTCTATTTATTTATTTATTTATTATATTTTTAAACTATTAAAGTATAAATCCATTTACACAAGATGTTTATAAACTTCATCAATGCCCAAAATCATCAAATAATCATTAATCAGTCTACACTATATATCTATAATCGTCCGTTTTTTTATTGTCAGCGTTTTCCCTATATGTTTATATTGTCCGCTTAAGACGTCCGCGTTTTAGACAGGCCCTGTGATTAAGTCAATTTTATACACAAGTGACACGTGTTAAGTAGAAAGTTTTTTTTTAGTTATATACTAAATGGATAAAATATAAATAAAACCAAAAAAAAAATTAATGAATTAAAAAAAGAGTGATATAATTGAATTATACATGGCAGAAGCCGGATTTTTTAAATTAATAACAGTTTTCTATACTCCCCTTTTATACATTTATTTCGTCAGCGTTTTCCTTCTATATCGCCCGCTTTTTCACTATGTACATGTCTACATTGTCCGCGTTTTCTGTAGCCACTTTATCAAATATAAAAGGTTGAGGTGTATGATTACTTGAAATATACAAAATGTCGGTGCGTGATTAAGTCAAATACACATATGACACGTGGATACTTGAATTAGTTGATAGGTATTTATAGTAAAAAGATTTTTTAGTTACAAAATGGATCAAATATAAATAAAACTAAAAAAAAAATAATGAATTAATTTTTTTTTATACAATTAATATATTAAAGTCACGTGTTTCCGGAGGCTGAGCAAAATCTCGTATGCATGATTGTCCTTGAAAAATTACTTCGCAAAGTCACGCCCTAATCGAATCGCTAAAAACAATACTTTCATTTGTTACACACACAAAGTCACGTGTTTCCGGAGGCTGGGCTACAGCACGTATGCATGATCGCGACGTTTTACTTTCTATATATACGAGTATAACTGCATGAACATCAGACGTTTTTAGTACTGTCGTGTATTGTATCTGGCATATTAGAAAGGTAGGAATTTGTATTTTCATATAAGATTTCTTACAGCATATTTTTATTGTCTTGTTAGGATATTGAGACGGAATGCACGTTGATAATTTTGTAAGGAAAATAAATAAATAAATGGAAATGGTAAATGTTCTTGAAAATATGTATCTTTTAAGGGAATTTTGCTTGCAAAAATATGTCTTTTCAATTTAAATAATGATAATTAAATTTGGAAATAAATATAAAATATAAATAAGACAAAATAATTTTTTTTTTATTTTATGAAAGGAAGAAGATAGGCTTAAAATGGTGCTGCTATAAATATAACTTTTGATTTTATGTCTGCTCTTAAGAGATAATCACAAAACAGAACAGTTCTTCTAAAATGTGGTTAATGAATACTTTAAACATATTGATCTGAAAATAAATGTAGGCCGTTTGATATTTACATAAAATATTTATTATATCCAATATGTGTGTATATGTGTGTGTGCAGAATTAAAATTATGCTTAAATAATGTTAACAATTCATTTCAAAACTTTCTTGTCAGGGTCAAAGTTTCCAATATGTAAAATCATGTGAACATAAATAATCGTCAAGGAGTAGTAGACATAACAAACAATATTATTTCGTCAAAACACATTTTACAAAACTAATGATCTAAGTGAGGAGGGAAAGTGAACTTTATATTTTTATGTTATACAAAATAAATAGTGCAGTATTTTAAAGTGAGTCAATTGTCGATGTTTTAAAGTTATATACTAATAACTCATCTGTGTTTTGAAGAAAAGAAAGTGACACTTAAAAGATACGTGTTTATATCAGAAATTGCTAATTAAACTAAAACTATATGTATTTTTTAAAAGTTTTGAATGATATGTATGCATATCTTTCATTGTTGTTGAGGCCAATGTCAAAATTGGCGTTCGCATTTTTTTTAACAATGTCTCAGCACACGTTTTGTTCAGAATAATTTATTGGATTTCAATACGGGCTCTCGATTTCTCATAAGCATGTTTAAATTTTTTTCTGAGAAACACTGATAATACATAAATGACAAGTAGCTGCAATAAATTGGTAAATAAGGTGAATCAAAGGTATATTCATTTGGCGGCCGTAGTCAAAAAAGGTTTTAATGTAATAGCAAACTGTGATATTGAAGAAATTATCAGCGTGTGATTCCTTTACATTTTGAGAACGGTAGGCCTAAATATGTATCCAGAAGGTTCTTCATTTTATGAGCAATTCGGCATGACTGTTAGAAAATTTTGTCTGTAAGAAAAAAAGAGGATTTTTTAAAAGATGAATACTGCTTTGAATCTTTGAATTTCATTTATATGCCCTGACAAAACGTCATTTTATGAATAGTTCAAAATAAGATATGATCGAACGAATAAAACTGTATATTGAAAATTCAGGGTTTTAAGAAAATAAAAATATGTAAAAACGTATGGCTATAATTTACCCAATATAACACACTTTATTCAGCCTTGAATTATTGGTTAAAACGTCGTTTTCCGACCTTTTTGTGCAAAACGTACTAGAGAAATTATTTCTCTCATTTTTTTATATTAAAATCTTAAACTTTCTTCAGTGCTGGCAATCTGCAGAAATACCTTTTAAAAAATTTCATTTTGAGTATCTTTGACATTCATCTACACTTTATTACACACGAACGACAACTCTGTTTTAAAGTTTAGGAACATATTTTTAATATTGAGACGTAAAGAATTGGATATACAATAAGACATCTATACTTATTCCATATTGCATGATTGACGGGACATCAAATAAGCACGTGTAACGTATTGGAATAAATTACAGCAAGATAGTAAATTACTAAAATAAAATTCATTTCAGGACTGTTTTCTTCTTTTGGCGATAAAAAACGGGTTTGATTTTGTGACTGAAGAACAATGATGACATACACAATAACAATTTTGGTGAGTTGATTTCATTCTTTTATCTCTTTTTACGCCTTTTAATCACTTCAAAACAGTAACTTAAGTAACTTACTATAATTTCCAAATTGTGTTACTTTAAAACGCTTGTTACACAGTACATGTATGTAGAATCCCTACTTAAGACTACCCCGAAATTAAGACCACCCCGCTTTTGAGACCATAATAAGAACGGAAGTTTCTGTTCTTTATGTCACCAGAATTAAGACCACTTCGCTTATCCTCTTTTAAGGCCACCAGATTCAATCCCACCTCTTAATTTGTTCTTTTTTTTGACCACACTAATGATACCACTGATTTAAAGTCAACACATACCTATAGATCTTAAATTTGTTGTTTTGTAGTTATCATCTGCTTGAATGATCTTAGGCATGACACTTCACAAAGTGTTAAAAACACCTTATATTTTTGAAATAATGCAAGATTTTAGTGTGGTTTGTACGGAAACGTTAGCGACCACCCTTATATGATACATATCAAATGACTTTTTTTTATAGTTTTATAGTATGTTTGTTATATGTAAATATGCTTTGAGGGAAGAAATACATATTTAAAAAGATGTAAGTGTTTTATTTTTTTCATTTTGTGGTCAAAATCTAATCTTATGGTGATGAAGCGCACGATATTTTAAATGTTTCATAGGATTTTTTTAAAATAAATAATATGCAGTTAAAATGATAATTTCCACCAATTTAGCAACTCATTGATTTAAAAGTGGCGTGTACAGAGGATGTTACATCATAAAAATTATTTAAAAAAGCCTTTATCAACAAGTTACTAAAAAAGGATAATATATGCTGGCGATGGAGAGAAATCTTTTGGTTAGATTTCTAATACTTAGGATAAAAAAGATAACCGATCTCTGCCATTTTTGCGCGCATTCCTTAATCTTTGAAATACAGAAAGCCAAATGGTTCATTTTTGATCTTTAAAAAAGCTTTGTATTATGCAGGATTTTTCTGTCCTCATTATCAAATATAAATTGTAAAATATGTTATATTATATTTCATAATGATAGAGATATGCGAATAAAAAACCTCAAGTATATATATAACTTATACATATAAAGGAACTGAAAATATTCACATAAATTTTAATCCAGCAATATGAACAGCAGATTGAGTAAATGATATATATTCAAGATTATATAACAATGTAAATATTGGTCAGATATATATCGTGTGTTCAATAGATTGTCTTAAATTCTGTTTTTACCAAAATGCAGGGGCGGTGGATATAACTAGATAAATATTTCAGATCAAGTAAGTTGGAAAAATTGGTTAGGTATATAATATGTACTAAATAAATTGTCAAAAATTCTGTTTTAACTAACTTGTAGGGGTGGTTGCATTACGTTTCCGTAGGTTTGATACTGCGCTAAGCATAATGATTTTGCGAAGAACTATTTTTTTTATTTGCTTGGTGAGCTATGTACATCATATAATAATTAATATATCGAATCAGACCAAATAGAATTTGATATTAAATTTCTTCAGAAATATGTTTTCTTCCCATCAGATGTAACATTATAATTTATTACATACTTTTTTATATTGTATTTACATGTTAAGATATAATGTCTATTCTCACAAAATGAATAAAATAGGTCTTTGTCATAAAGTGTGTAAGAAATGATAAGAATATTCACAGTTAAGACCACCCAGCAATTAAGTTTACAACTTTGGTCCCGTCCCGTTGGGGTCTTAATTGAGGTTTTTTACTGTATTTCTTTATAATGCTGATATTAAAAAAAAAATAAAAAATTAAAAAAAAAAAAAAAAAAAAAAAAAAAAAAAAAACAAATCAAAATAAAACAAACAGAAACATTAAACGGTGTGCTTCTAATATAACATGTACAAATATTTTTTTCTAGCTATTGGCATTTCTTTTGGTGTTTGTGAAAACATCCGAATCAAAGTCGCTTTCAATTAACCAGAGGGTTAAATATAACTATAAGAACAGTAAGGATAACAACTTTATTAAACGTTCAAAAAATAGCAATGGGGAAGGAAATGGAGTAGTAAAATGTAATGATCACAACGAGGTAAATAAATTACAATCTCGGTATGTTGTACCTTTATAAATATGCCATTTTCAAATGTCGTGTTTTTCACACTAAATTTTTGGACATGTTGTGAAAGAAACAAAATAACTTTATTTAGACTGACAGATGAATAAACTCCATGTCTACTATGTAAAAAAATATTTAAAAAAAAAACTAAAAAATAATCAATGCTTTCTAGCTTAAACTTATTCTTAAATCGTTAAAGATAATTATATAAATTCAGTGTCCAGACGGGTTTGCCTGCCTATTGCCTGGCTTTGAACAGGCAAATTCAAAAGCAAACAAGAGGTGCTACCAATGTGAGTACTTTACATTTAATTAACAGTACATTGAAAAATGAATATATTTTTCTTTGCTTCCTTTTCTTTTCTTGCCAGCGGACATATTAACATTTACATTTAATTAACAGTACATTGAAAAATGAATATATTTTTCTTTGCTTCCTTTTCTTTTCTTGCCAGCGGACATATTAACATTTACATTTAATTAACAGTACATTGAAAAATGAATATATTTTTCTTTGCTTCCTTTTCTTTTCTTGCCAGCGGACATATTAACATTTACATTTAATTAACAGTACATTGAAAAATGAATATATTTTTCTTTGCTTCCTTTTCTTTTCTTGCCAGCGGACATATTAACATTTACATTTAATTAACAGTACATTGAAAAATGAATATATTTTTCTTTGCTTCCTTTTCTTTTCTTGCCAGCGGACATATATGTCATGTAAATAACATGTATGCTTCAGACTTGTTCAAGAATCGTTAAGATCTGTTCTAAATGCTGAATCTGTCTATCTTTTTCAGTTTATATTTACCACAGAAACGTTTATTATATATTTCAATTATATTGGCACCATTAGAAACAAGTTCGAAATTGAGTAATAAATTTAAGTAAACAAGACCCTCTTATCGGACAAAGAATAAATTCAGAAGCACGTTAAAGGGCCACTATTATCATTTTTTTTGCATTTTTAATGGAAACGATCATTGTTTTAGGCAACTGTACAGACCCGAGTCAGTGTTTCTTTCAAGATAAACAAATGAAGTGTGATTGCTGCGGCTCTGGATTCACAGGACAATTTTGTCAAATCAGTATATACTTTTGATATACCTTGCTTAAAGTTGAAATTCTCAAAGATATATGACATTTAAATTTTATACATCACTCAACCGAATACCATTAATTGATTCTTTTTTGTTTTAAACGGAAAATTAAAGAAATGTTCTAAGATTAATGTACCTATCTCTTTGTCATTTGTCAATTTGTATAATGTTTTACTTTCCTTGTTTGCTTCCTGGTGAGCAATGTATTCCTTTGTGAAGTAACTTATAAATTGCTTATAAACATGTATATATCAGCCCATTTTCATGTGTATTTCTATGTTTGTGATCTACATTTGTATGTCTCTTTACTATCATTAAGATATAGACGATTGCATAAATGCGGTTTGTTTAAACGGTGCTACCTGTGAGGATTCAGTGAATGACTACACCTGCCATTGTACGCCAGGTTTCACAGGAACACATTGTGAAATAGGTATTTCTATTTTTATTGTTCAGTTAATACCTTTAATGTGATTGCTGGTAAATATTACACTGTATGTTGAAGATCTATATATATGAAGCATTTCTTTTTGTAATTATCGCAGAACAGGATCTGGATTCATAGGAGAATTTTGTGAAATAAGTAAATTTTAGTTTTGATATATCTTGCTTAAAGTTGAAATTTTCAGTTTTTTTAAGTTTTGACTTTTTCAAACATCCCTCAAGAGTCAAACATTGCTTAAATGTTGCTGATACAAAAATATAAGATAAAAAAAAACTTGAAGAGGATTTTACAGATGCAATATTATATTCTCAAATTAATCCTTTGAGAAACTGCAGCGAATGAACTTCATTGCAATTAATATTCATCTCATCCTTCCATGTTTTTAAAATGTTCTACGATTAATTGCTTACACATATTTTTTTTTTCTTCCGTGAATTTTTGTTACATGTACAATATGCCTGTTTTCTATTACAAATGTATTAAGATATAGACGATTGCATAAATGCGGATTGTTTAAACAATGGCACCTGTGTGGATTTAGTGAATGACTACACCTGCCAATGTACGCCAGGTTTCACAGGAACAAACTGCGGAATAGGTATTTCTAAATCTTGTTGTTCAATAAGCACCTTTTATATGATTGCTGGTAAATATTATACTGTATGTATATATTGAAGATAAATATAAGAAATATTGATAATATTCATGTCTTTTGTAATTATCACGAAACTGCATCTGGATGGGAGAACTTTGTGAAGTAAGTAATTTATACTTTTGAGATACTAATACCTTGCTTAAACTTGAAATTCCTTAGTAAAACAAAAGACATCTTAATTATTTTAGCTTTGGCTTTTTCGAACATCTCTCAAGCGAAAAACATTGCTGAATTGTTGCTGATGGAATAATTTAAGATGAAAAATTTGTCAAGTGTCAAATGAGTATACTGATATAATGTATATTTTCCAGTAAATCCTTTAAGAAACTGCAGAAAATGAACTTCAGTGCAAATTATATTCATTTCCTTCATCTATCTATTTCTAAATTTTCTATGATTAATGTTCCAATTTTGTCTTTTGTCAATTTGTATAACATTCTCGGAACTTTTTACTCTTCTTTCTTGCTTCCTAGTGAGAAATGTATTCCTTTGTGAAGTTACTTATACAATAACAAACCAATGATGAAATTGCTTATATACAGGTTTATATCAACCCATTTTCATGCGTATTTCTATGTTTGTGATCTACATTTGTATGTCTCTTTTCTATCATTATAAGATATAGATGATTGCATAAATGCGGTTTGTTTAAACGGTGCTACTTGTGAAGACTTTGGTAATGACTACACCTGCCATTGTACGCCAGGTTTCACAGGAACACATTGTGAAATAGGTATTTCTATTCTTATTGTTCAGTAAGCACCTTAAATGTGATTGCTGGTAAATATAACACTGTATGTACATGTTGAAGATCTATATATGAAACATGTCTTTTTGTAATTATCGCAGAACAGGATCTGGATTCATAGGAGAATTTTGTGAAATAAGTAAATTATACTTATGATATATACATTGCTTAAAGTCGAAATCTTCTGTAATGCATCAAACATATAAATTTCTTAAGCTATGGCTCTTTCAAACATCTTTAAAGCGAAACACTTTGCTGAAATGTTGCTGATGAAACAATTTAATTAGAGACTGCAGGGAATGAACTTCATCGCAATTTATGTTCATCTCTTCATCCATGTTTTAAACAAGAAATAGAAGAAATATTCAGCGATTTATTGCTAACACATATTTTTTCTCTTTTGTGAATTTGTGTAACATGCACACATATTTTTTCTCTTTTGTGAATTTGTGTAACATGCACAATGCTTGTTTCCATTCATTAAGATATAGACGATTGCACAAATGCGGTTTGTTTAAACAATGGCACCTGTGTGGATTTAGTGAATGACTACACCTGCCAATGTACGCCAGGTTTCACAGGAACAGCCTGTGAATCAGGTATTTCTAAATCTTGTTGTTCAATAAGCATCTTTTATATGATTGCTGGTATTAATATTACACTGTATGTATATGTTGACGATTATTATATGAAACATTGCTAATATGCATGTCTTTTGTAATTTTCACGAAACTTGATCTGGATGGGAGAACTTTGTGAAGTAAGTTATTTATACTTTTGAGATACTATAGTACCTTGCTTAAACTTGAAATTCCTTAGTAAAACAAAAGACATCTTAATTATTTTAGCTTTGGCTTTTTCGAACATCTCTCAAGCGAAAAACATTGCTGAATTGTTGCTGATGGAATAATTTAAGATGAAAAATTTGTCAAGTGTCAAATGAGTATACTGATATAATGTATATTTTCCAGTAAATCCTTTAAGAAACTACAGCAAATGAACTTCAGTGCAAATTATATTCATTTCCTTCATCTATCTCCTTCTAAATTTTCTATGATTTATGTTCCAATTTTGTCTTTCGTCAATTTATATAACATTCTCGGAACTTTTTACTCTTCTTTCTTGCTTCCTAGTGAGAAATGTATTCCTTTGTGAAGTTACTTATACAATAACAAACCAATGATGAAATTGCTTTAATACAGGTTTATATCAGCCCATTTTCATGCGTATTTCTATGTTTGTGATCTACATTTGTATGTCTCTTTTCTATCATTAAGATATAGACGATTGCATAAATGCGGTTTGTTTGAACGGTGCTACCTGTGAGGATTTTGTTAATGACTACACCTGCCATTGTACGCCAGGTTTCACAGGAACACATTGTGAAATAGGTATTTCTATTCTTATTGTTCAGTAAGCACGTTTAATGTGATTGCTTAGGAAATAGATATTAATTCTGAGTGCATTGTTGTAGAATAATGCACGGTTTGAGTTCAAATGCGTAGTAATATAATCACGAAGGCCGATAGGCCTGAGTGATTAATTACAAAGCATTTGAACGAAAACCGTGCATTATTATACAATAATGCACGAAAAATTAATATCTATTTCCATTCTAACACGTCAAGAAAAAATAAAATTATTATTATAAAGTTGGACTTTATGTTTGGTGGTTAAATTTATTTTCGCCTCAGAGTTTCCCATAGAAACGTTCTTTAAAGGCTGTTCCAGTGGGTTGAAAAAAAAACTGTCGTTAAATCTACGTGTGTAGAAACATTTTGAGAATAACGAATTTTGAAAACGTCGATAAAACTTTGTTTGTTTATTTTATTTCACTCTATAATTTTTCAAGCGAAATACAAATTATCAAAATTGAAATAAATGTAAAACTTAACTCGTTTGCGACATTAAAATATCGTACTTGATTTGATTGTTTTGCACGTGCTGTTTGGCGCTACATTGTGACGTCACGTAAACAACACTTTAAACGTCTGTACAGTGTTAACGACTGAATAAAAGATATTGGTGTTCGGATTCATTTTCTTAGTTAGACCATTTTCTTTCATTCTAGATACTTTTCACAACAAAATTCGACAAAAAAATGTTTTTATTTATCAGATTTTTTAAACAAAATGGCGCCCTCAATGTGAAAATACACGGGGAGATAATAAGAACGGCGAGTGCATTGTTGTAGAATAATGCACGCTTCCGGCCTTCTTTGTCTATATAGGAAAATGTCCGATAGTGTTAGAATGGTAAATATTACACTGTATGTACATGTTGAAGATCTATATATGAAACATGTCTTTTTGTAATAATCGCAGAACAGGATCTGGATTCATAGGAGAATTTTGTGAAATAAGTAAATTATAGTACTTATGATATACCTTGCTTAAAGTCGAAATTTTTTCTTTAGCATCAATCATATAAATTTCTTAAGCTTTGGCTCTTTAAATCAAACATCTCTAAAGCGAAACACTTTGCTGAAATGTTGCTGATGAAACAATTTAATTAGACACTGCAGGAAATGAACTTCATCGCAATTTATGTTCATCTCCTTCATTCATGTTTTAAACAAGAAATTGAAGAAATATTCTCCGATTTATTGCTAACACATATTGTTTCTCTTTTGTGAATTTGTGTAACATGCACATTGCCTGTTTCCATTCATTAAGATATAGACGATTGCATAAATGCGAGTTGTTTAAACGGTGCTACCTGTGTGGATTTAGTGAATGACTACACCTGCCAATGTACGCCAGGCTTCACAGGAACAAACTGCGGAATAGGTATTTCTAAATCTTGTTGTTCAATAAGCACCCTTGATATGATTGCTGGTAAATATTACACTGTATGTATATATTGAAGATAAATATAAGAAATATTGATAATATTCATGTCTTTTGTAATTATCACGAAACTGCATCTGGATTGGAGAATTTGATAAGTTATTTTTACTTTCGATATACCTTGCTTAAAGTTGAAATTCCCTAGTAAAACAAAAGACATCTTAATTATTTTAGCTTTGGCTTTTTCAAACATCTCTCAAGCGAAAAAATTGCTTACATGTTGCTGATGGAATAATTTAAGATGAAAAAATTGTCAAGTGTCAAATGATTATACTGATATAATGTATATTTTCCAGTAAATCCTTTAAGAAACTACAGCAAATGAACTTCAGTGCAAATTATATTCATTTCCTTCATCTATCTCCTTCTAAATTTTCTATGATTAATGTTCCTATTTATTTCTTTCGCCAATTTGTATAACATTCTCGGAACTTTTTACTCTTCTCTCTTGCTTCCTAGTGAGAAATGTATTCCTTTGTGAAGTTACTTATACAATAACAAACCAATGATGAAATTGCTTATATACAGGTTTATATCAACCCATTTTCATGCGTATTTCTATGTTTGTGATCTACATTTGTATGTCTCTTTTCTATCATTAAGATATAGACGATTGCATAAATGCGGTTTGTTTAAACGGTGCTAACTGTGAGGACTTTGTTAATGACTACACCTGCCATTGTGCGCCAGGTTTCACAGGAACACATTGTGAAATAGGTATTTCTAAATCTTGTTGTTCAGTAAGCACCTTAAATGTGATTGCTGGTAAATATTACACTGTATGTACATGTTGAAGATCTATATATGAAACATGTCTTTTTGTAATTATCGCAGAACAGGATCTGGATTCATAGGAGAATTTTGTGAAATAAGTAAATTATACTTATGATATATACCTTGCTTAAAGTCGAAATTTTCTCTTAAGCTTCAAACATATAAATTTCTTACGCTTTGGCTCTTTCAAACATCTCTTAAGCGAAACACTTTGCTGAAATGTTGCTGATGAAACAATTTAATTAGACACTGCAGGAAATGAACTTCGTCGCAATTTATGTTCATCACCTTCATCCATGTTTTAAACAAGAAACTGAAGAAATATTCTGCAATGTATTGCTAACACATATTTTTTTCTTTTGTGAATTTGTATAACATGCACAATGCTTGTTTCCATTCATTAAGATATAGACGATTGCACAAGTGCGAGTTGTTTAAACGGTGCTACCTGTGTGGATTTAGTGAATGACTACACCTGCTGTTGTGTGCCAGGCTTCACAGGAACACACTGTGAAATAGGTATTTCTAAATCTTATTGGTCAGTGAGTAAGCACCTTTGATATGATTGCTGGTAAATATTACACTGTACATAATTGTTGAAGATCTATATATATGAAGGATTTTACATATATATTCTGCACTAAATTCTTAAAGAAACTGCGGTAAATGAACTTCAAAGAAGCAATTTATTCATCTCCTTCATCTATGTTTGAAACAGAAATGTGAAGTATTGTTCTGCCATTAATTGCTTACACATATTTTTTTCTTTCGTGAATTTGTGTAACATTCACGGATCTTTTACACTTCCTGTTTGCTTCTTATATATACATGTATATTGAGGAATCAGCCCAGTTTCGTGTACATATTTTTATATGTTGATGATCAACGCCTTTTCTCTATTATTAAGATATAGACGATTGCATAAATGCGGTTTGTTTAAACAATGGCACATGTGAAGATTTAGTGAACGCCCACACCTGCCAATGTACGCCAGGTTTCACAGGAACAGTCTGTGAATCAGGTATTTCTAAATCTTCTTTTTGTAAGCACATTTGAAATGATTGCTGGTACCACAAGAACTTGAAATTCTATCAATATAATAGATAAAATCAAAAATATACACAGTATAGTTTATTTTAAATACTATATAGGGGTATATTTTGGATATTATCGTTAATATTGACATAATTTCAAGTTCCTGTGCTGCTAAATATGTTGAAGATCTATATATGAAACACATAATATTTATGTCTTTTTGTAATTATCAAGATCGACATAATCATTTATTATTCATTTTCCAAGTAAGTAAAAGTGTTACTTTGATTTCTTTATTCACTGTGATGATGCCATTCACGTATTATCGGTAAAAGTTGATTAAACATGGTTGTATTAACAAATTCATTGTCCTGTATTTCTCTTCAGTTTATAAAGATCCATGTCTACCGGGGTGGACTCATGACAGAAATAGCTGTTATCTCTACGTCAGCACTACATTTAACTGGCTATCGGCAGTTGTAATATGAAAATCTTTTACCTAATTACTTTATTACCTAAGCAGACCTGGGAATGATTACAATGATCAGTATTTGATTCAATAACAATTACTTTCAGATTTTACTGTAATTGATTATGATTGATTATTCAGACTTGTCTCTGTAATCAATTAAATTTCAATTACTTTAAGATGGCAATTGATTAATAATTGATAACATTGAAATGTATAACTCTAAAACAAAAGTTAAACCATGTGAAATAAAGGCATCTTATCTTTGATTCTGTTAAATCTGATAGTACATGTAATCAACGTCCATCAAGTTGTGAATGAATTCAAGCTGTAATTGATTAATTACAATTAATATAATCAATTTGTTGGGCAAGGTAATCAATTACATTATGTGTTACAGTGTATTTAAAAAATCAATAATTTCGATTAACGATTACCCCAGATTTGTTAAGGCTATGCAATATTTCTACAAATTCTATATAAATCTCTGACAACAATGTACCTCGGATTTTTAATTTAACTAGAACTATCACTAAATGTGATTAATACCCCCACACTTAGACTGCTTCGGAAATGAGGATGTTACTAGTAACAGAATATCTTGTAAAAGAATTGAAATATAGAGTTATGGTTGTGGGCAATTAAAGATAGTTGTGGTTCTTGTATATTGCATTTCCTTTCAATGTGGTTGGCCATTGATGAAGTTTTATTGAATTACTCTGTAATAAGTCCAGAAAGACAAAGAAAAGGAACAAAGGGCAATAACTCTATAAATACTGAATATGGAGTTATAGTTCTTGTGCACTGCACTTCCTCTTTTTGTGCTTGACCATTGTATGAAGTTGTTTTGAATTTCAACCAGTACGTTTTAAGTTATGCTCCAGACAAGGAAAAGTATCAAAGGGCAGTAACTCTGTATTTTGTCAAAATGGAGTTATGGCTCTTATGCACTTCACTTCCTTTTAATGTCCTTGACAACTGTATGAAGTTGTTTTGAATTCCAACCAGTAATTTTCAAGTTATGCCCCGGACAAGAAAAAGCAACAAAGGGCAATAACTCTGTAATTAGTCAAGATAGAGTTATGGTTCTTGTGCACTGCACTTCCTCTCAATGTGCTTGACCATTGTATGTAGTTATATTGAATTCCAACCATTAGTCTTCAAGTTATACTCCGGACAAAAGAAAGCAATGGAAAAGTAACAAAGGGCAATAACTCTGTAATTACTTTAGATAGAGTTATGGTTCTTGTGCATTGCACTTCCCCTTATTGTGTTTGACAATTGTATGAAGTTGTTTTGAATTCAAACCAGTAGTGTTCAAGTTATGCCCCGGACAAGGAAAAGTAACAAAGGGCAGTAACTCTGTAATTAGTCAAGATAGAGTTATGGTTCTTGTGCACTGCACTTCCTCTCAATGTGCTTGACCATTGTATGTAGTTATATTGAATTCCAACCATTAGTCTTCAAGTTATGGTCCGGACAAAAGAAAGCAATGGAAAAGTAACAAAGGGCAATAACTCTGTAATTACTTTAGATAGTATCTAAAGTAATTACAGAGTTATTGCCCTTTGTTACTTTTCCATTGCTTTCTTTTGTCCGGACCATAACTTGAAGACTAATGGTTGGAATTCAATATAACTACATACAATGGTCAAGCACATTGAGAGGAAGTGCAGTGCACAAGAACCATAACTCTATCTTGACTAATTACAGAGTTATTGCCCTTTGTTACTTTTCCTTGTCCGGGGCATAACTTGAAAATTACTGGTTGGAATTCAAAACAACTTCATACAATTGTCAAACACAGTAAGGGGAAGTGCAGTGCACAAGAACCATAACTCTATCATAGAGTTATGGTTCTTGTGCACTGCACTTCCCCTTACTGTGTTTGACAATTGTATGAAGTTGTTTTGAATTCCAACCAGTAATTTTCAAGTTATGCCCCGGACAAGGAAAAGTAACAAAGGGCAATAACTCTGTAATTAGTCAAGATAGAGTTATGGTTCTTGTGCACTGCACTTCCTCTCAATGTGCTTGACCATTGTATGTAGTTATATTGAATTCCAACCATTAGTCTTCAAGTTATACTCCGGACAAAAGAAAGCAATGGAAAAGTAACAAAGGGCAATAACTCTGTAATTACTTAAGATAGAGTTATGGTTCTTGTGCATTGCACTTCCCCTTATTGTGTTTGACAATTGTATGAAGTTGTTTTGAATTCAAACCAGTAGTGTTCAAGTTATGCCCCGGACAAGGAAAAGTAACAAAGGGCAGTAACTCTGTAATTAGTCAAGATAGAGTTATGGTTCTTGTGCACTGCACTTCCTCTCAATGTGCTTGACCATTGTATGTAGTTATATTGAATTCCAACCATTAGTCTTCAAGTTATGGTCCGGACAAAAGAAAGCAATGGAAAAGTAACAAAGGGCAATAACTCTGTAATTACTTTAGATAAAGTTATGGTTCTTGTGCACTGCACTTCCCCTTACTGTGTTTGACAATTGTATGAAGTTGTTTTGAATTCCAACCAGTAATTTTCAAGTTATGCCCCGGACAAGGAAAAGTAACAAAGGGCAGTAACTCTGTAATTAGTCAAGATAGAGTTATGGTTCTTGTGCACTGCACTTCCTCTCAATGTGCTTGACCATTGTATGCAGTTATATTGAATTCAAACCATTAGTCTTCAAGTTATACTCCGGACAAAAGAAAGCAATGGAAAAGTAACAAAGGGCAATAACTCTGTAATTACTTAAGATAGAGTTATGGTTCTTGTGCACTGCACTTCCCCTTATTGTGTTTGACAATTGTATGAAGTTGTTTTGAATTCAAACCAGTAGTGTTCAAGTTATGCCCCGGACAAGGAAAAGTAACAAAGGGCAGTAACTCTGTAATTAGTCAAGATAGAGTTATGGTTCTTGTGCACTGCACTTCCTCTCAATGTGCTTGACCATTGTATGTAGTTATATTGAATTCCAACCATTAGTCTTCAAGTTATGGTCCGGACAAAAGAAAGCAATGGAAAAGTAACAAAGGGCAATAACTCTGTAATTACTTTAGATAAAGTTATGGTTCTTGTGCACTGCACTTCCCCTTACTGTGTTTGACAATTGTATGAAGTTTGTTTTGAATTCCAACCAGTAATTTTCAAAGTTATGCCCCGGACAAGGAAAAGTAACAAAGGGCAATAACTCTGTAATTAGTCAAGATAGAGTTATGGTTCTTGTGCACTGCACTTCCTCCGAATGTGCTTGACCATTGTATGTAGTTATATTGAATTCCAACCATTAGTCTTCAAGTTATACTCCGGACAAAAGAAAGCAATGGAAAAGTAACAAAGGGCAATAACTCTGTAATTACTTTAGATAGAGTTTATGGTTCTTGTGCACTGCACTTCCCCTTATTGTGTTTGACAATTGTATGAAGTTGTTTTGAATTCAAACCAGTAGTGTTCAAGTTATGCCCCGGACAAGGAAAAGTAACAAAGGGCAGTAACTCTGTAATTAGTCAAGATAGAGTTATGGTTCTTGTGCACTGCACTTCCTCTCAATGTGCTTGACCATTGTATGTAGTTATATTGAATTCCAACCATTAGTCTTCAAGTTTATGGTCCGGACAAAAGAAAGCAATGGAAAAGTAACAAAGGGCAATAACTCTGTAATTACTTTAGATAGAGTTATGGTTCTTGTGCACTGCACTTCCCCTTATTGTGTTTGACAATTGTATGAAGTTGTTTTGAATTCCAACCAGTAGTTTTCAAGTTATGCCCCGGACAAGGAAAAGTAACAAAGGGCAATAACTCTGTAATTAGTCAAGATAGAGTTATGGTTCTTGTGCACTGCACTTCCTCTCAATGTGCTTGACCATTGTATGTAGTTATATTGAATTCCAACTATTAGTCTTAAAGTTATGGTCCGGACAAGGAAAATGCAACGGACGTCTGGACCGACCGACCGACCAACCGACCACCGGGTGACTCCTATATACCCCCCAAACTTCGTTTTTGGGGGTATAACAAGTAAAAATTGAATCGTACTGGGTTGATTTAAGACGAATACAGATGTCTAAACCGTATCAAAATGTTGAAATTCATTGAGAATTAAGGTTGAGCAAGGTTATTGGTCACGGCAGAGACATAGATAACTATGTCTCTGGTCACGGTCAGACCCGAGTGTCTGAGAATAACTGCAAATTTTACATCTCTTGTCTTTAAAGAACTATCAAATATTTTTCGAAATATAAGAAAATAAACGTATGAGGATTGGTGGCCTAGTGGTAAAGGTGTCTGCCTCTCAAACCAGGGAACATAGGTTCGAGCCCTAATTGGGCCACGACCATTTTTCTTCATATGACACCAGTACTGGTTTGTTCCAGCAACTGGACTCGAAAGTGATTAATATAAGTGAAAAGACTTTGTTTCGGAATCTAACTAAAATATAAACATTTAAAATAAACACTTATCATTGAAATTTCTGCAAATAATAATACGCGGAGTTAGCTTTAAATTAATGATATTTTCTTTCATTATTTAACAGTCTCACTGCCAGTCCCTTGACCCGAACGCCTATCTTGTCGAGATAACAGATGATGCTGAAAACACACTTGTATACACAATATCAAGTCTTTCCGGTAAGTGATTGAAATTAAACATACTCTCATATAATATATAACATACATCAAGTCTCGTATTTGTATGTAACAGTGAAATGGACTTAATCATGACTTACTTAGTAAATAAATACAGTTTTCAATAAATTAATCAAAACGACAAAAAAGAACCACCTGAGATGTACTACCCTTGTCTAGCCAGTATTCTTATATAAAAAGCTATTGGACAAATGGCAAAAAACGTACAGTAATGTTGTCAAAGTGTACATAGAAAGCTAGCTTACTATATTATTATAAAATGTATTGATTTTTAATGTTAAAAATCCCATTCAATCGCCTACTTACTGGAATATTTTTTTAATTAACCTTGACATTTATACCCACAAGTTCCTAATGAATTATCATTGGACGACATGTCTTCTCAAAAGTTGTTTAAATAAGTTAATGTACATTCATTTCATTTGTAACATGTACTTGAAACAGGGTCTTTCAAATATTTTTTTAAATATATTTGAAAGAGTCCCTGCTTGAAATCAGAATTCAATATTTTGTTATAATTTTACAGATGTTTGGATTGGTTTATCAGACAGGATCTCAGAAGGCAATTTTTATTGGGAAAATTCTGGAGACATCTTAACATATATACCATATGGCATTATGTACTATACAGAAAGCGCTAGTAAAGACTGTGTTTTTATGCACATTGAACACTGGGACGCGGGCTATTGTACAAATTACCGACCTATAGTATGCGAAATGCCAGAGCAGGTAATCATACATTGCACATGACACGTATTTGCTGTATCCTGGATTTTTGTTCTTGCGAAAATAGTTCAAATTTAACATGTATTTGCATTTCTAATGATATGCATCTATATGTGTAATTATAATAAGCATAACAGACGCTTTTCACATAGTAATTACCTCCCTTGGCCGCCATTCCATGATTATATGAAAAGCTCTGATAATTGTAAAATCTTTTACATGATGATGCTAAAATAATTATATTATAATTATTAAAAATCGGGAACTATATATTTCTTTTCAATAGGCTTCAGTTTTTAAGTGATTAAACACACATATTTTAAGTGTATTATACTGTATATGTTCTTCACAAAATGTCGGAAATTATCTCAGTATGTTGTTTTATTTCAGTAAAACGTGGAGACACAATGGGACCAAGTCAATGGATGACTACTTTTACATTTCATATACCTTTGTTTTCTTTATTTCGTTAAAATTAATATTTACAACACACTCTGTGTGAGCGGGCGCTTCGTGTTTACTATTATTTTCTAAATGTTGAGGAAATCGCTCCAAAAAAAAAAAAAAAAAGAAATCTATATTTGGCTTATTTCTGGAGTCAGAAAGGTAGCAAAGACAGTGTAATGTTTGTAAGTAATGTGCTGGATTTGAAAATGTATTGCTTTTCTTTTCTTTTCATGGGTTTAATTGTTTTGGTTTTTTTAGATGTTCATTTTTATCATCTAATTCATTACTACTGCTCTGTTTACAATTCTTTTCAACGGACCATATATAGTGGGACGCTTGAAAATGAACCAATAAATAACTTAAAAAAACCATTTCTGTACCTACAATCACAAGCAGTAGTCACGTGATATATAGTTTATTTGACTGATAAGAATTATAAATGTTTCAGAAGTTAACCTCTGAAATATATAGGTCCTGGATATAAAGCATTTCTACTGTTATAAGTGTCCTCAAAGTCAGTGTAGCAAAATGTCATAGAGAATAATTTTCATTTCTTGGCGTCAACGTGTAGAATTTGGGGCGAATCTAATGTTCAGGAGACGAGTAGAATTTAGGGCGAATCCAATGTTCAGGAGAAGAGTAGAATTTAGGCGAATCCAATGTTCAGGAGAAGAGTAGAATTAGGGCGAATCCAATGTTCAGGAGACGAGTAGAATTTAGGGCTAATCCAATGTTCAATTTGGGGCGAAGCCAATGTTCAGAAGACGAACAGTTTTATCTCAATGAAAAATAATATTGTTTAATTATCATATAAATTTTGTTATCATTATTTCATGTGGGAACATATAGCAAATAAATTTATGGGACAAAAATTGCGTTTGTTTTATTAACTGACTTTGTCATCATTATTCCACACCTTATTTGTCTCACAGACACTTGGGTTTGTGGAGCTCAAAACGCCTTTAAAATCCAAATAAAATGCATATTTTTCAATCCCAGCACATGTACTGATCATATATATCAAAAAAACTTAATATAAGGCGTTTTGAGCTCCACTAGTCGAACTAATTAGACTTGTCAAAAAGACACCGAGATAATTTTTGACGGGCGCTGTCTTTTTCCAACGGTTTGACAGTAATAAAAAAAGTCTGTTAAATGGGTCAAACCGTTCACGCCAAATTAATTAGGCTAGAGCTCCACATCCTAAGTGTCTGTGATTTAATATGGACTTCTTTAGAAAGGTCACAAACACAACTTCAATTGCGTTTATAATGGTTTTAGAGAATGTTAGAAGAAAATAGCGTTAAATGTGAAATAATATGCAATAAAAGTAGCAAAATATAAACAAAATAGTATTTTGACTTCCATACAAATGGATGAAAAGGAAGAATACAAAGAAACCACATCTCAACAAAGGATAAATATGAACAGTTTTTGTGCTCCTTTAAGCACTTAGTTGACCATGACCACTCTGCTAACCTTGACCATTTCTTGACCATTCAACAGACCATATCACTCATCACATTAACCTCTCAGCCGATCAATACCACTCTACAGACCTTAAGCACTCAGCAGACATAAACAATTTAAGACACATTGACCACTCATCAGACATTAAGCACTCAGCAGACATAAACAATTTAAGACACATTGACCACTCATCAGACATTATAAAGCACTCAGCAGACATAAACAATTTAAGACACATTGACCACTCATCAGACATTAAGCACACTGCCGACAATTACGACTCAACAGACAATTACCACTCAACAGACCATAACCACTGAACAGACCATAACCACTCAGCAGAACATAACCACTAACAGATTTAATCACTACTCAACAGCCCTTAATCACTAAAAAACCCTTTTAACCTTTAATTTCAGATATCATAAAAATTAAACAGCCCAAAACCCCCTAAAACAAAAATTTTAACCCTAAAAAAACTCAGCTGCCCTTTAAACCACTTTTCAGCCCAAAATAACCACTTCTAAACCCACTAAAGGGGGCCTCATATAAAGTAAAAAAGAATAAAAATTTTCAAAATTTTTAAAATTTATATCTGCCCATTTTTAAAACTCCCCACAGACAAAAGGTTTTTTTTTTGTTGGCCCCAATTAATCTTTTACGATGTTTTTTTAAAAGTAAATTTTTTACGTCCCTTTTTGAAGACAGTCTATCAAAAAATATAGGATTTATCAGTTGTTTTATCATGTCTGTTTTTTACTGGATATTAACACAATTTAGGTCATATCTCAGAGGTTGTGTAATATAACTTGAACTTGCCTTGAAACTAACCAGTTAACAAATTTTTTACATGGTAAATGAATTTTCCTGAATCATCAAGTTTGAAACAAAAAAATGAGCCGCGTCATTGACCAAACCAAAATAGTGCGTTTGCGACCAGCATGGATCCAGACCAGCCTGCGCATCCGCGCAGTCTCATCAGGATCCATGCTGTTCGCTGTCAGTTTCTCTACTTGCTATAGGGTTTGTAAGCGAACAGCTTGGATCCTGATCAGACTGCGCAGATGCGCAGGCTGGTCTGGATCCATGCTGCTCTCAAACCCATTATGTTGGTTTTGTCATGACGGGGCTCAAATTATTGACCATGTATGATTAGATTTACTATCCAAGATAATTTCAATTTGGAGAAATTATGCCTTGCAGGTGTATCTGATAAGAGTAGTGACACTAAATTACAAAACCAAGCTGTGGTGGTGGGGGTAATAAAATGAACTTCAACCTTGAAGGGTGACCATTAAAAGCAAGATTTCAGAAACCATTATAGGGGTATTACCGTAAAGGATTTATAGGATGGATACAGAGTTGTCTGATATTTTACCTTCTAGGGTGAATCTGAACCAAGCAAGTCACAACAGTGGTCTGTAAATCAAGTTTTTGAGGTGAATATTTGTGCAAAGTTTGTAGAAAATCCATCAAGGGGCATACATTTAGGATTTGTAGAGTAGACAAATTGGAAACAGGAATATGGACTAAATGACAGAGCAAAGGGATTCCATAATATAAAAAAACAACAAAAAAACATTTATATAGTAGAGGTATAACAATCAGTAAATTACAAATGTTTTAATCATGTTTTACTGACCAAAAAATATTAATTTATATCAGTTATTTTCTTTAGTTTTTGTCAAAGAGTTATTAAAAGAACAAAGAATGTGTTTGGTAAACAAAAACCATATAAGCAATGTATTTCACCATATAAGCAACATTTTCCCCCCACAAGTACAAGTATATATGGAATGATGGATATTTATCCAATAATGTAGTTAGACTGATAGACAGTTCAATAAGTATATGCCAGGGGGCATAAAAAGGCATTTTAATCGAGTAAAGTAAGGAAAACACAAGTGTGATAATTATGAGGATTCCCACCCCCATTTTCCCCAATCTTGGCATACAGGAAGTACATGTAACTTGCTGAGAAAACTTAGCTGTTACAAAAACACTAGTGCCTATGGGAATATAACTGAAATACTACCTGCATTTCAAATCATACCAACATAATACTGATAAAACACCTCAGCTTTATGTTCAGCACCAGTATGTCCTGGAAAGAACCACAAACATTTTTCACTTTTAAAGAAATTAACCTGCCTTAGTGGTCCGGACAAACATTAAAAATAGAAATAATTAAAGAACCATAAATCTGACAAAAATCATAGAACTGGAAAATGCCGATGATATGCACAACTAGACTTGATAGCTGATCATTCCTGTAAAGTTTGGATGAAACTGCACCAGTATTTTCGAGGTGTAGTCCAGACAAGTTTTTTTACTTTGTTAAGGCGATACAGTCTATAGTAATTCAGGTATAATGACTATTATTCAGTGACTTTATCACACAAACAGGAAGGCTGCCTCTATTATAAACTAGATTTTAAACTCTGAAAACAACAAAAATAAAACAGTAATTGTCAAAAACAATACTTTATTTCAGCCATTTACTGATTGTATAAAGAAAATTAACACACTTTAAAATATCACACTTGATGTAATCAGGAGTATTTTCTTGGGCCATCTGTGAGAATATCCCGGGAAACCAGCATTCGCATCACCTCATTTGTTCCTACAAAAAGTATAATAAACATTTGAGCCGCGTCACAACAAAACCAACATAGTGCGTTTGCGACAAGCATGGATCCAGACCAGCCTTCGCATCCACGCAGTCTGATCAGGATCCATGCTGTTTGCTATCAGCTTCTCTACTTGTTATAGGGTTTGTAAGCGAACAGCATGGATCCTGATCAGACTGCGGATGCGCAGGCTGGTCAGGATCCATGCTGGTCGCAAACCCATTATGTTGGTTTTGTCATGACGCGGCTCAATTTAGATATTTATACAGCCTATCTTCAGCCTATCTTCATAACTTGCAACTCTTTTACCTGTGGAATTTGTGTTTTGGATTTGACCAGCTTTGAATTTCAAACTTTAGATATTTCAATACCAAAATAAATGAGGGCTCCTAGAGAAATCACCTGAGATCCACTGCTAGAAAAGGTCATGATTCTTTGATGCAAAAATATGTGAATTAGTCATATAATTCCGGGCCTGGCCATTTCTTACCCCAGGGACATGATTCATTAAACTTTTGAATAAGTCAAATGGGCAATGCTACATGCCAAATCTCTAAGCCCCTAAGGATAAACAAATTTTGACCCTGACTGTAGGGGCCATGAAGATGAGTAATTTTAAGCTGATGATACATACAAAGAATCTGAGCTTTGGAACTGTATTTTTCCTTTTCATGAGAATGTTATTCAAGTATGTTCTTATATTTATGCTTTGTAAAAAAAGTGATCACTATAGCGCAAGGCCAGTTTTTTACCCCTGGGGCATAATTTATATCCGTTATATAAAGGTCCTCTACACAAATCTTATGCAAATCTACTTACAAGTATTTCACAGAAGATTTAAATGTTTGTTTCCAGACACAACCATCAATGCACTTATGTAAAAATTCATACGATGACTTTATAATAAAAAGTTTGACCTTGACCTTTAAGGTCGGAACCTGATTCATGCAGGGTACGCATCATCATTATGTCCAACACATTTATGCATAATAATTTTCAAATCCATCTAGGAATGATAGAATTGTTGACAGGACACCAACATAAGTGTACTTATACCAAAATTCAGATTATGAATGAATTTTTTAAATACATGTGTGACCTTGACCTTTGAGCATGGGACCTGATGCGGGACACACTGTTATTATATCCCACACATTTATGCATTTATTAAATAAGATTGGAAATATAATAAGATGGGAAATATATGTGGTGCCATGGTTAGAAAAAAATGCTAACTGTTGAAACGGCAACGTAATACCCGTGTTAAACGTTTAACCGACAAATACTAATAAAACCCTTAGATTTTCAACATATCAACTTTGTTTCTTTATTACAAGATATGCCATTTTGTTCATATTTTGTTGTGCAATACATATCTGAATATGGAATAACTATTTTCCACTAGCGTCAAACTGTATTCAATCAGATCGGAAAAAATACATTGTTGAGTACAACTAAAATACAAACAATTGTCATATCTTGTCATAAAAAAATGCTAAGGTAATTTTTGAATCGATTTAACTTTTCCGTCCTTTAGTCAAATGCGAACCTTGGTTACTGGTTATTGAATTTTCTAACCGGTTTATAGCTAAAAACCGACCGTACCCATTTAAACGGATAAACATGAAACCCCTAAATTTAATAAAAAACAAAGATGAGGAATAGAATGAGAAGATGAAGTATATAATAAGACACAGAATAGAATAAGATGAGGCAAAATATAAGAAAAAAGTGAGCAACAGCATATATTTAGGAAAATACATTTGCTGTTAATATATATTGAGGAATAGAACAAGTTGACAAAGATAAAGTAGGTGATTCCGAGTCAGCTTCTTTGACTAACCTCAGTCAGTCACCGAGGCAAAAACAAAGTTAAAGCAGCACGCCTCCAGATTCATTCTAATTTTCAAATGTATTTGAATGTGTTATATTGTGAAGTAACGAAAAGGAAGCAATTTACACATTATCATTGGCACTTTCAAACCTCCCAAATTATCAAAAAGTTGTCAGAATATGCATAAATAGCCTTTACTGTGTTAGTAACGCAGTAGAAATATAGTTGTAAATACTGAAATATCAGTCATTAATCGCACATAATATGTAAAATATTACTTGAATCTTGAAACTTTTTACTTTTCCTTACATCTTAGTACATTTTTCTCAAGTTTGAATTTATTGAAATATTTTATCTCATCTGATCTGGAGGCATGTAGCTTTAAAACATCCATATACTAAACAACCTACCTTCTAGGATCTGATGTACCCTACAATCTCTCATATATTGTTGTACAGCATAATCCTTTAAATAGCCATAACCACCATGTATTTGTATTGCCTGGTTACATATCTGTAAAAACAACATAAGATACATATGTATAAATGTTAAACAAAAAACAGGACAGTACATCCAATATATATATATATATATATATATATAATATATATATAATATATATATTATATAATATATATATATATATATATATAAAATGAAACAAACAAACAAACAAAAGAAAATAAGATCATACAACAAGAGCTGTCCGTAAGACCTCGCGCGCAACTTGCCTGGATGATGATGGTCACTTACATGCATTTTAAATTTTTGAAGTCACCTTAAAGATTTTAGGAAACGTTTAAAATCTTAGTACATTTTTCTTAAGTTTGATTTTCTTGAAATGTTTTTGACTCATTTGGAGGCATGCAGCTTTAAAGTATCCATGTATTGAAGACCATTAATACCTAATGCAGTTAGCAACTAAAATGTAAACAATTTCATTTGTAGAGAAGTATTTTATCGTCTCTGATTAAAGGGAGACTATCCAAAAAAAAATTAAGAAATAATGGTGGATTTTCAAATGTGTATTGTTAATTGTTACAGAGTCAATATCCCACAAGAACATCAAGAACATAATGTTTCGGCATCAATGACCCTTAAGTACCAGAATATGACACCACTGCAGAGAACTGGAATGTCACAACAATAACAACAACAAAAACCCACCGGTTTGTGTAAGTCAATCTAATAATAAATAAAAGCTGTACATGAAAATTGCAGCAAGGTTTTATCAATATGGTTTGACACTTGTAACTGCCACACATGCTTCCTCCTACTGATATTATCCAAACTTCAAACATGGTATCAAATGACTTCTTTGTTACAAATAAGTTTGGAATAAAACTTATACCCAAAAATTGTTACCACTATACCAAAGCAGCCTTCAACTTTTCTTTAGGTTAAATATGTTACTTTATGATCAATCAACAGTTTTGAAGAAGGCTTAACAGTGATATGGTGCACTTATTAAACAACCTCTTGTGTTAATATTTTACCTATTATATTTGTATCTTTACGGAAGTGTGTGGTTCTACTCAGGTTCCCTTTGTGCCTAAAAAATTTTCCCTAATGGCCCCCAGGCCCCTTTTGCAGCCCGTAAAGCGGAATTACATTGCCCCTTTGTGTTGGGGTTTACATAAAAAACCCTTCAAACCATACTGGTATGTATCTAATGTATTGTAATAAAGAATATCAAAGGGCCAAAGTAAAGGAAGCTTAAAATGTAGGAAGAGGTGATTAAGTAACAAGGTAATTGATCCTTACAGTAAAACATGCCTTATATGGGAAATATTTTGACATGGCACAAAAATCCAGTTTAATCTAAACACTCATCTGAAGTGAAATAATTTTCCCCTTATTCATTTAAAAAAACATCTGCAGTGAATATAGTAAACCATGGAAAAAGAGCCTTAAGAAAACGTTTTTATCAATGCATTTTCCAGTAGCAAAATATCTTTGCCATTGAAAATAGTTTGCCATCGGGCAAAAAGTCACTTACATTAAAACATTCATCTGTAGCGAAGTATTTTGCCATGGAACAAAGAGCAACTTTCTCCGGCCAGTCTTCTTCTAACGCTTTAGTTGCCTGTCTAACCATGTTCCGTGATACTACAAGCTTTGTTGCCATTTCTGCCAGCAGAAATTGCAAATACTGAAATAGTAATACATGTTTGAGCCATTCAGAAGCAATTAAGTAATGTACCTTGCAAATGATATTAATACTGTAACACAAAATGTAACAAAAACATAACCTATTATCAGTTAGTATAGTTAAATCATATTCAATTTTATCATTTACAGTTTGAATATTTGAAACAAAAAAATATTTTCTTTTGTATGAACAACATGAGTTTGCAAATGACAAATCTGTCTCAAGTATGTTACCCTTAACTTGCTGAACTTGTTCAGCTTCCATTTTTCGGACAGTCCATTAAAATACTATTCATGATATCAAGATGGAAGCAGGTTTGTAAAGAGTCTACTCAGACAACATGAATATGCAGGCTGGCCTGGCTCTATAATCATAGCAAATGTTTATCACTTTGGGTTTCAGCAGATGAAGGGTTAATAAATATAAAAAAAATCATAACAATCTGACCTGGAAAATCAAGGTCACTTTAGGGGGGTCAAGGTCATATTTGAATAAATTAATATATATTTGATGTCTTGTTTCCCAGTATGAAGACACTTATTTTTAAAATGAAGATGTAACATGTTCAACCCATAGGTAAAAGTTAACTCAATCTTACCTGAAAGTTTTCTAAGGTTTGTCCAAATTGTTTTCTAACTTTAAGATAATCCCTACTTAATTCTACACAGGCTTGTGCTGCCCCTAATGAACATGATGCTGAAAAATACAACCATATTATACATATTATTACACGATTATTTATTGATGACATAAATGTATTTACATGTGATAATTTGAATCTATATTCACCATGTACAGTCCATTACACAGGAATGTGAAAATAAGGCAGCACACAACACTAAATGTAGCCACAGTGGACGATTTCTTTGAAAGTGTAAATATTCTCGACATAAATGACTGTTTGAGTTCAAAATGCATTTTCAGCATCAGATTTGGTTTTGTAACATCTAATATAAACTCTGGCAAAATAGGGCTAGTAATAAACTGTTCAGGCAGATAGTGTCAAGAACACTGTTTTACTGCATACAGTGCATTTCAACTGCAGGCTCGGAAGTATCAAGACATTTTTCAAGGGGGTCCATACTTCCATCTGTAGCAAAAAATCTACAAGGCCAAGCATCTGTTTCTTTGTGATATTTTGCATGTTTAGGGAGTTGCCAAGATTTTTTAAGCTTTTACTATATGCATATAGGGAAAGTCAATGACCCCCTTGGGTGGGGCCAGTTTTGACCCCAAGTCTTTTATTTGAACAAATTTGATAGACACTCACTAGAAGATGTTTCATGCCAAATATCTAAGCTCTACCTCTTTGGGTTTTTTAAAAGAAGATATTTTAAGTTTTTCTATCGGTTGCCATGGCAACCAGAGTTCTGCATGGAATTATATTCTTTGAACAATTTTTAAAGGTGACCACCAAAGGAACATTCCTGTGAAGTTTGAATGAAATTGGCTTAGTGGTTTATGAGGAGATGTCATTTAAAGTAAAAGTTTACGGACGGACGACAGACAGACGCCGGACGAAAAGCGATCACAAAAGCTCACCCTGTCACTTTGTGACAGGTGAGCTAATAAAGAAGTAACAGTAAAAAATTGTATTTTTTAACGAAAATTCGAAGTTCAAGGGGAGATAAATCTGACAATATTGGTGCTAGAGTTATGAACCTTGTCACATATGATATGGTTGATGATAAGGAACAGATATTTGATGTTTTGAAGTCGATGCCTTAAGGCCTTAAGAAATGAAAAAGTTATAGTGAAAAATATTTTACTGCACCAAAACTTTAATCTGAAATCTGGATGCAGACGCCGAAGTGGTCGCCGACGCCGGGGCGAGTAAGACAGCTCTCCATATACCTCGTATAGTCAAGCTAAAAATTAACCATGTGTGACACCAACATCTGGGGAAGTTCAATAGCTCTTCCTATTCTCTGTATAGTCATGCAATAAAAAATGTGTTTTAAGTGATAATGAGAATCCTTACCTATATTAATTCTGCCGCCATTTAGACCTCTCATTGCTATTTTAAACCCGTCACCTGGCTGCCCTATAACATTTGTTGTAGGTACTCGACAATCTTCAAATATCACTGCCCTTGTTGGCTGAGAATTCCAACCTACCTAAAATCATTATCATTAAATTTTATCATTTCATAATTACTTTTTTCACCTTTAAAGCAAGGTGTTTTAAAACTCTAATTAGTTTATTGTCTTTTAAAATAAAACATAAATAATATGCTCTTTAAACACTAGAATGTCGCAACAATATTTACTCCTGCATATATCAGACTGGATTTACTAATGTTTGAAGTGATGCTGTAACATGTCATATTACATCACAAAGTTACTAGACTGGACATTCCTCTCTGTAGCAAGTGAAAGAACTTAGTATATTACAATAGTATCTATAAGAACTATGATCTTTTTTTTTTCCAAAAAAATGTCAAACACCTATTTTTTGGGAACCTAGACATGATCATCATGCCAGAAGACTGCTACCTGGGTGTTTGTTTGTTCGTTTGATAGGGTTTAACTTCACACCGACACAGTATAGGTCATATGGCGATGTTCCAGCTTTTATGGTAGAGGAAGACCTCAGATGCCCTTCTGTGAATTATTTCAGGCACAAACAGGTATTTCCTGGGTGTCATAACCAGTAATTGCAATAGTGTGGAATGTTTATCTCAAGATAGAATATACCACAGGTAGAACTTGTACCAACAATCTCCAGATTTAAAGTTTAATACCCAAACAACTTTTTTTCCTTCTAATGATCATTTACAACAATACTAATTCATTTTTTTTGCTGAACAATATTAAATCAACCTTTCTCTCTTTCTTGCCAAAATCTAGACCGTGTGTGCCCTTCTCCACTAGAAGACAGGAAATACCTTTGGGACCTTTCTCTCCTGTTCTACACATGACTACATATACATCCGTTTCTCCACCTCCACTGATGAACATCTATAAAATAACATTCATTCTATCAAGTTATAGGTTTTCCTACCTTTAAAATAAATCATTTACAATAAATACAAGGTGTATACAGGAATAATCATATTTCTTTTTAGAAAATAGACCATCTTTAAATTTATATTAATGCCAGAAAACTTCTGTTATCATTTAAGATGTTTGACTTGCATTACATCGTATTTATTTTAAATTTTTATAACATATATTTTTGCATTATCTCACAAATTTTCTGAGAGACCGTGAAAAGTTTGTTAAAAAGTACAACAATACATTGAAAATCAGAAATTTTTTTTCATAAAAGTTACAGCTGTTGAAGACACTTTTCATTTAATACAAATAATACTGAATTTGCTTGCTGTCTATTAATAATCTAAAATATTTCAAGAACAAAATGTTCAAAACAAGCAACCACTAGTACATAATTTGTTTGTTTTTCTGAGGTTTTCTTTACGCCAATTTTTAACACATTTTTGGTCATATCTTCGCGGTCTATCAACCTCACGACATTTCCTGGATAACTTACAAAATAATTACAAATTTCTCCGCATGTGACTGACTAATATCCCACTTGATTTCTGAATCAGTGGTGATAGAAAAATGAGCCTTGTCACGACAAAACCAACGTAATGCGTTTGCGACCAGCATGGATCCAGACCAGCCTGCGCATCCGGGCAGTCTGATCAGGATCCATGCTGTTCGCTTACAAACCCTATTACAAGTAGAGAAACTAGCAAACAGCATGGATGCTGATCAGACTGCGCAGGCTGGTCTGGATCCATGCTGGTCGCAAACGCATTACGTTGGTTTTGTCGTGACAAGGCTCAAATGTCAACTAGACTCAGTGTCTGAAATCATATCGTCACGCATAAATTACGTCATGTCCGAGAATCAAACCATTGACCTTGGATGACTTATCCTATGCTCTCACAATTGAGCTCAGGGGGCGGACCACTTGTACTCTGTTCCTACTGGCAGATGTGCAGGTAGAAGTGACTTTATTGGTGACATAGCTCTGCAATCATCATCACCAGCATACAAACTGTTGAGAATTTAGAAACAATAAAGTGTCCCCCACCTTTGATCCATTCAGTATGTAATGATCTCCTTCTCTTCTAGCAGACAAAGATAAATTGGCAGCATCACTTCCAAAATCTGCACAAACATAACATATACACTTTCAAGTGTGCTAAAATAATGCATATATACTTTCAAGTGAACTAAAATAATACATATATACTTTCAAGTGTGTTAAGAATAATACATATATACTTTCAAGTGAACTAAAATAATACATTATACTTTCAAGTGAACTAAAACTAGAACTATCACTAAATGTGATTAATACCCCCGCAAGACAGCTTCGGAAATGAGGATGTTACTAGTAACAGAATACCTTGTAAAACAATTGAAATACAGTTATATGGTTGTGGGCAATTAAAGATAGTTGTGGTTCTTGTATGTTGCATTTCCTTTCAATGTGGTTGGCCATTGATGAAGTTTTATTGAATTACTCTGAAATAAGTCCAGAAAGACAAGGAAAGGGAACAAAGGGCAATAACTCTATAAATACTGAAGATGGAGTTATGGTTACTGTACACTGCACTTTCTCTCATTGCAGTTGACCATTGTATGAAGTTGTATTGAATTCCAACTACAAGTTTTCAAGTTATGCACAGGAAAAAAAATAAAGGGCAATAACTGTATTTAGTCCAATTAGAATTATGGTTCTCGTGCACTGCACTTCATCTCACTGTCCTTGACCATTGTATAAAGTTTCATTGAATTCCAATCATTAATTTTCAAGTTATGCACTGGACAATATAAAGTAACAAAGGGCAAAAACTTTTAAATGAGTCCAGAAAGAGTTATGATTTCTGTACACTGTGCTTCCTCTCAATATACTTGACCATTGTATGAAATAGTATTGAATTCCAACTAGTAGTTTTCAAGTTATGCTCTGGATAGGAAAAAAGCAATGGAAAAGTATCAAAGGGCAGTAACTCTGTAATTAGTCAAGATAGAGTTATGGTTCTTGTGCACTGCACTTCCTCTCAATGTGCTTGACCATTGTATGAAATTATATTGAATTCTTCAAGTTATGTTCCGGACAAAAGAAAGCAATGAAAAAGTAACAAAGGGCAATAACTCTATAATTACTCTGGCCAGAGTTATAGTTTTTGTGCACTGCACTTACTCTTATTGTGCTTGATCATTGTATGAAGCTTTTTTGAACTCCAATCAGTAGTTTTCAGTTATGCTCTGGACAAGGAAAAGTATCAAAGGGCAATAACTTTGTAATTTGTCAAAATGGTGTTATGGTTCTTGTGCACTGCACTTCCTCTTACAGTGCTTGACCATTGTATGATGTTATATTGAATTCCAACCTAGGTCTTCAAGTTATGGTCCGGACAAAAGAAAGCAATGGAAAAGTAACAAAGGGCAATAACTCTGTAATTACTTATAGAGTTATGGTTCTTGTGCACTGCACTTCCCCTTATTGTGCTTGACAATTGTATGAAGTTGTTTTGAATTCCAACCAGTAGTTTTCAAGTTATGCTCTGGACTAGGAAAAGTATCAAAGGGCAGTAACTCTGTAATTAGTCAAGATAGAGTTATGGTTCTTGTGCACTGCACTTCCTCTCAATGTGCTTGACCATTGTATGAAATTATATTGAATTCTTCAAGTTATGTTCCGGACAAAAGAAAGCAATGAAAAAGTAACAAAGGGCAATAACTCTGTAATTACTTTAGATAGAGTTATGGTTCTTGTGCACTGCACTTCCCCTTATTGTGCTTGACAATTGTATGAAGTTGTTTTGAATTCCAACCAGTAGTTTTCAAGTTATGCTCCGGACAAGGAAAAGTAACAAAGGGCAATAACTCTCTATTAGACAAGATGGAGTTATGGTTCTTGTGCACTGCACTTCCTCTCAATGTGCTTGACCATTGTATGAAGTTATATTGACTTCAAACCATTAGTTTTCAAGTTATGCTCCGGACAAGGAAAATGCAACGGACCGCTGGACCGACCAACCGACCACCGGGTGACTCCTATATACCCGCCAAACTTCGTTTTTGGGGGTATAATAATACATTATACTTTCAAGTGAACTAAAATAATACATATATACTTTCAAGTGAACTAATAATGCATGTAGTACATATATACTTTCAAGTGAACTAAAATAATACATATATATACTTTCAAGTGTGCTAGAAATAGTACATTTATACTTTCAAGTGAACTAAAAATAATGCATATAAACTTTCAAGTGAACAAAAATAGTACATTTATACTTTCAAGTGAACTAAAATAATACATACGAGGTATGTTCAAAAAGTTCGTGGACTTTTGCTGTCATTTTTTACTTGGTTCATAAAAACACTCTTAGTGGATATGAATCGTAAGCGTGTCTTTATTTCTATAAGTAAGATTTACTTTTATTGTAAACTTATATTTCCTTTACGAGTTATGTGCACTTTAATAACCATGGCAACGCAACATCGGCGCACGCCAAAATGTTCGTATATTGTTAAAATATAAACAAATGTTGAAACAAACTGAATGATTGTTTTATGAAGTAAAGTACCAGTAATCATCAACTAATATTTAAATGACATAAATCTGAAATTTGACGTCGTTTGGACGTTGAATAGCTGAACAACCAGGTTTTGAGTAGCAGTAGACAGACGGGTTAGTTGGGAAGTATAAAGCCCGTTTAAAAACTAGAAATTCGCTCTTTCGGAATTTTTTACCAATAAATGTAGGATACTCCTTCATATTTTTATTATGTGATTAAATTAACAAAAAACAATGATTTGGCGAGCAAGTCTATTGGTTTCAGGTCGCGCAAGTATTTGCAAATACGGCAAATACATGCTTACAGACAGAAAGGGCGACGGAGATTTTTTAGCGGCAAACTGTTGGGACGTTTGTAACGTCAATTGCAAAAGATCTACAGAAGTCCAGACAGTATGAAAGGTTTGCGAGATGTCCAACATTTTTTAATTTCTGCATCGGGTCTATGGATTCAATTCTGACAAAACAATTTAATTTAATTAAAATAATATTTTATTTCATTCATCAGGATATATGCGTATCTACAATAAATAATTTTTATTTGTATTACGTGTGTTTACCCTGGTCTGTTTTATAATTAATGCTAGCCGGTGTTTGGTAGATTTACCGCATAGAATAATTGTCAGTTGGTAAAATATTTTTCTTTATCATTGATAATTATATTGTTTAAAGATCGGACGAGGGTGGTTTGAAGTTGATACTATAAATCAACAATTGATTTAACTTAATAACACTGTCCGTTAAGTGTCGAAATTACTCAAAAATCCCGATAAAGAGCGGAAAGTATGCGGCACTCGGACCTTTATACGGAGAATGGAGCAAAAAGATTACCACTTTATAACTTGGGTCATCATCACAACCAGAAAAATGGTTCTGGTATATGATCCGCAGTTATTGAACACTAAAAAGAGTACTTTCAGAAACAATGACGCTGGTAAAATGTTTCATTTATATTGCGACGTCACGAACGTCATTTTGTTTCATCATCAGCGTGCGCCGGATTGTGCACCCCTTGTGATTTGTAACTGTCAAAGAATTGTTATCTGTAAACATATTGTATTGATTTTTTCACTGTTTATTAAGGACATATTTTCATATATGTCTCTTGTAAAATCATATACGCAAATTAAAAGATGTGAACAGTACAGCCGCAGTCCACGAACTTTTTGAACAGCCCTCGTATATACTTTCAAGTGTGCTAAAAATAATACATATATACTTTCAAGTGTGCTAAAAATAAAACATATACTTTCAAGTGTGCTAAAAATAAAACATATATACCTTCAAGTGAACTAAAAATAATACAAATATTCTCTCAAGTGAGCTAAAAATCATATATAGACTAATACTTATTTTTAGATAACCAATCACTTATAACAACTGATTTGACAATGTCCTGCTCATGAAAATTACATGTTTATATGAGTTAATCCATTCACAGAAATTTTGTAAAAAAAAAAAGCCCTCAGGTGCCCTGACATGCAGGATTCAGACACATTTAGAAATATCTGTTTTTAACCTTCCATATGTTACCTGGACAGCTTTCTCATTAGAAAAATCTAAAACCTTCATAACATTCAAACCAAAAGCAGTGAGGGGCATGTTATTCAAAAGGCAATTATTCTGTCAAAATCTATGTCAGAGTTACATGCCTTGGTAACAAAGTCATCAAAAACACATACATGTAATTATAATAACTTAATTTTATGTTACATGCAAAACTTTAACCAAGAACTTTTTAAGCTCTCAAAGGCCATATTTCCCTCACATCCATGTCAGAGTAATGGTCCTAGGATAGTAACCTCCAATTATTATCCTGAAGACATATATTAAGTATACCTTAAATAGTTTTGGTGATTAATATTGCATACCAAAAATTTAGCAAGGAAACTTTCAAGCTCACAAAGGGCCTGTTATTCTGTCAAAATTGATGCTAGAGTAATAGATACAAGAAGTTACACTAAAACCTTACTCTGATACCCCATTGAGTAGTATAGCCCTACAATTCTTCAAACTATCAAGCTAAAACAATGCTTGTGTAATGTATGGTGTAACTGAATATCAGTTTAAATCAAGCACTAGGGTGTCAAGAAAATACATTGTCAAAATGAAAAAGAAGAAATAACATCAGCTCCTTTGCACTTTTCTTCTTCTCTTTCCTTCACTATAAATACTCCTACAGTTTATTTGGTTGGGGTGAACTGCTTTGTTATATAGAGTGTCTGTTTGTTTTTACAATCATTTCAAATACCGAAACATTTATGTTAAATTATATGCAATCTCATTAAAATCATATCCAAACTGTCGCTCCACTATCCTTTGCTTCGTAGCAAAGAGTTACAGAGCGAAAATGATGATCTTATTTTAATGAGATTGCATTGTATGTTACTATAAATACATACATGCCATAATTTTTAGACTCATTTCCGGGACACTTTTCATTTGGAGGTGGGGCACTGATCAGCAAACGTATTTTTTTTAAAATTTACATAGTGGCATACAACCTATATTACCGGTATTTACAATTTGCAAATTAATGACACCATAAACAAAAGACAGAATGTTAATAATTATTAAAAGTTTTTCTATCTTTTTTTAAGTATTTAGGCATCGTTAATTCAATCAGTCACAGAATATAATAAAGCTATGTTAAGTAATGACAATTAGCCATGTCATTTACCTGAAACATTCGCTGAATCTTGTAGAGTTCATCACCTCATATTTAGCGGTAATTTTCAAGGTGTTTGACCATTAATAACTGCCGCCAGGCGGATTAAATTTATTCTGGCCAGTTGTTAATTACAGTGTATGACACCTTCGCTCAGGAAGCCACAGGGAGTAAACAATTAATCTTTTAATTGATCAAAATTATTGCCGATAATTGTTTGTTGGAAGGGGCACGTAGATATACCAATCAAAGGATTAGTGTCATCATTGCAATGCTGTTAGGGGATAATCGTTCGTTATTAGCGTTCTAGACTAGTTTATTAAAACTTGACAATAAAATTATATAAAAATGTAAAATTTCTTGCTTCAAAGTAGATTATTTTAGATTTTTTTTTAACCGGGAAATAAATCATCTTCGTGACACCTCCGGGACAGACACCTTATTTCCGGGACTGTCCCGGACATCCGGGAAGTTATGGCATGTATGATAAATAGCTTACTTGGTTCAGTTAGACAATATGAGGCTAAAGCTTCCATGGTAGCCAGTTTAGGTATCCATTCACTTTTCTGAGTATCATTACCAAATTCGTCTATCATCCATGCACACATACTGAAATAAACATCCCATAAGAATGATAAAAGGTGTAACTGACAGATAATCTGATACAGTACAATTTTCAAACAAGAACTGCCCGTAAAACAGCCCAAACTAAACTATTCTGAGTGCTCAATAGTAAGAAAAGGGGCATAACTCGAGTAATTGGACCTTTGTGCATCATGTTAGATGACCATAAAGAACAAGTGTTTGAAATTTTAACCCATTCCTTTAAGAAATTTTGCCAACTTGCTCCCAAAAACTTAACCAAAGTATGATGAAATAATGCCAATAACTCTGTTTTGTACTGGTTTCATATCAGGAAATACTTACATCTTACATGTACTTTATCACTGGCAACTGCTCCCTGCCTTTATTTTCACACAGATTAATTAGACATATTCAAAGGCTTCAGTCTGTGAGAAGGTAACAATAAGTTAAATTGGGGAGCGGTGGTCCATTGGTTAAGGTGTCTGCCTCTCAACCCAGGGATCATGGGTTCAAGCACTAATTGGGTCACAATCATGCTTCTTCATATGACACCAGTACTGGTTGATTCCAGGAAGCAGACTCAAAAGTGATTTATATAAGTTTCAAGAACTTTCTTCACAATCAAGTTAAATAAATATGTTTAAACCAATACTTGTGAATACTGATGTAGGCAGTGGTGCTAACACAACCCTGAGATAAAGCTTCAAAAATGAGCGAAGCATCTGTCCGACCCAGTCCAGTCCCACCGAACTCTTCACTACAATAAATAGCACCAAATCCAATACTGCCTGCCTTCTTCATTACATCCACTGGAAAGGTTTCCTGTAAAAACAAAACAAGGATCCATCACATCTTATGTGAAATATGACATCATTTAGATAGGTAATTTACATATTTAAATAAACTTAATTGGTATGTTAGAAAACAAGATGTATTCACATACCCCAATACCATATACATCCATTTTGAAAATCTGAACTTGACAACCAAGGTCATCTCAAAATGTCAAGATAAAAATAGATTCAGCTACTGCCTGCAGGCTAAGGGTTAATAAAGTAAAACATTTTGAAATTTGCATTTTCTTATTAATAATGGAGCAATGACTGTTTATTTTTATCTGCTTCAATGACCGGTATTTTATTATGTCTTTAAACTGACATCTAAGATATCTTAAATGGTCTACAGCAATTTCTTATTCATTTTAACATCATATGGAATTCAATGTCATTTACTTACATGTATTTATTACAATTGGCATTTCATACATTAATATCAGTAAAATGAAATGAAACAAGAATTTGAACAAGGATTTTTTTCACCTCTATAATATGAAAATGCAGGTGCCCCTCTTTTTTTATAAGAAACAAATTTGTGCACCTTCACAATGAACTGAATGCTTTTTTATCAACAAATTGAAATAAAGTATATACACGAGCTGACATGGCATAGAACTATAAAGGCCTACTACTACATTTATTTGATTTTATTTAGCAATACTGTATGTAAACAACAAAGTTAATTATTATTATATATACAGACAATTAAAACATGGACAGGTGTTTTCATACATACTAATTACTGTGTACATGTACAACATTTAAAGTGACATGATGCCCATCTAAAGGTGAGAGTGAGTGAACATGTGAGAGTCCAAAATCCAAATAGATTTTCATTTTGCCATAAATCCTTCTGATTTAATAATTAACTTCGCATAAACACTAAATAACCCCCGTATCCAAACGAAATTTCTGTAAATATCATTTAGAATTTACCTGTAACGTTCAGTTTATAAAAAGAGTGGGGCAGTCTTTTTATATTTTAGGCAGATTTTAAATTTTACCCTAAACATTTTCCAATATAAACTATTTGTCAAACACCATTTAAATTGTCAATCTTTTGAAATGTTAAGTCAATTTAGCTCATCTTGACTATGAAAATATGAGCATAATGTCACTTTAATAAACTATAGATTATAACATACAGGAATGTATATTCCATATAATTAACTAAATATTACAGCTCAAAACTAAACAAGAATTCTTCATTACTAGACACTATTGTATTAGCTATCTACAATAGTGCTGGGGCGAGTATCCGAGTACTCGGATAATCACCAATCAAAATGAAAAATCAAGTACAAATATTCGTCAGTCCAGGGATCGTGGATTGCAATCTTATTTGTTTATCATACATTCGCTGTTTCTTACACTTTAAATGTAAAAAAAATCAATTTGTGTATAATTATGCGACGTTTACCTAAATACAATTTGCTCATTAAAGACAGGAATTAAACAAACATGTACCATGATGCTGAGCTGGGAAGTCATTTGTTTCGAAAAAGAAATCACTATCTTTATTGAGCGCTTGTTTTTAAAAGTAAATAAATAAATAATTTTAGTCGCTTGTATAGATCTATAATTAAGTGACATGTTTTCAGAACTAATGTTCATGTTTTTATGGGTGTCTTGATAACAATAGATTCGTGGTTCGATTTGTATATCACAAGTGCTGAATTGTGAATCAGATCGGATTGTCACTTATCCGACGATCCACACCCCTAATCTACAATCAACAGAGTTCATCGACAATTACATGTACAAGTATATGTTAATATTATTACTCAGTTAACAAAATAGTTAAGTAGGTTTTTATATGCCTTGAGCTGACTTTATTGTTATATTCTGTATTTCAAACAAGCTTATCCCTACATACAAACATTAAAAATAGCCTTGGTAACATGCATGATGTTTGTCTTTGACAAAAGTATTCCAGCATCAGCATCATAGCATGAATTTATCATAAATTGTTAAAATTTTTTGATATAAGCGAATTTAAAAACCAAATGGATGAAACGATTACTGCAGATAAAATTGCTACAAAGAACAAAGTGGAAAATTAGGAACTCATTCAAAATCTTAATAAAAATAATGTTTTATGTACAAGTTTGAATGTTATTAAAGATCCCATAGTTTGATCTTCTCTCATTAAAATTTAGAATAAGCGCTCAATAATTAGAAACAGAAACCAGACGGTATTGAAATATACCAGCTGATGATAGATTTTGCAAATGCTGCACATTACATGATATTGAAACCGAAGAAAACTAAATGTTGAGATGTCATAATGGTAAATGGTTTGTATCCCAGAATAAGATGGACAAAAACCCACATTTGTCAAATCTGTGTCTTTATGAGTTTAAAGCGGCCTTCAGCTTTCAGAAATAGAGGGGTTTCCTTATTGTTTACATATGGCAAGTTTCATTTCCCACCTTAATTCTTAATGAAACAATTTATCTAAAAATAACAAATTTAACCTTTAGAAAAGCTCACTTTAACCTGTTACTGCAATATGGTGACATTATATTGACCTAGAGTTAAAAATTAAGTCTGTAGCAGGATAATTTAACTTCTAATTGGATATTTGTTGTTTTTTTTTCAATCATTAATTTTAATGATAAGTTATTTCTAAAATTTAAGTCATTACATTAAAGTCATGATCATGTGACTTCTTTAAAATATTTATAGTCAATATATAAACTTCTCTTCTGTTTATCTGATTTCTTTCAAACACATAATAAATCGTACCTCTTGATCCCATTTTGCCATATTTGGTTGTAACTCATTTCTGGCAAAGTCTGTAGCAAGACCCTGTATCTGCTTCTGCTCTTCATTTAAGCCAAGTGATGCTGAAATTTGTATACAGTCTTAAAATTATGTTTGTTTTCATGCATGCATACATAGTTATATTGAATTTAAGGATAAACTCAAAACTAATTTTATCTGAAAGATATACAGTTGATTTCACACTAAACTTCCCACCCTTGTGCACTTCTAGTGCACTAGAGCTGAACTAGAAGTGCACACCGTGTGCACTTCTATTGCACTAGACCATATGACCAGGCTGGCCAGGGAAGGTGACACCTAAATGGTTTATTGGATAATTGTATATCAAGTGACAGGGACATCTATTGTTAAGCTGCTGTAAGAAAAAAAAACTTTGGGAATATATGGCCTATTCATGAAAATTATTCTTGGCCTGGGATTCATCAGGCGTTGGCACTGTGACAGGCTAGATAGTCATATGATATTGATAAATGACCATAAACTTTGTATAATCAAAAATACAAAAAAAAAACATAATGGTTTAAATGCATATTAGATATTAATGTCTCTAAAGCGGAAATTTGTATATTTATCCATTTATCCACATTTGTTGCCACTCTGCATAAAAATATATAACTTAAGAGGCAATTCCTCATGTTCAATATTGAAAAAAAATATTAATTCATTGATATTAAAACAATCCATACACTCTGATATTATGTTTTTCCGCCATGAAATGCTTGCATACTAGTTTTACAGATATAAATAATTAAATTTTTTCCATGACATCATGGAGCTAAATATAAGTTTATATATCTGTGCATGAAATAAATAAAATTGATAACTTTATTTAAGATTTCTATATTGAAAATTTAATGTATAGAATGCTTTTATACAAGAGGACAGACTCTCAAGTCATGCTGTGTATTGGTATTTTTCTGAGAGCGACTGTTTTCATTGAGTCCCGTTTTCTTATACTGCTGGTCTCCTGCTGATAAGGGGTCTCAGGGTTAATAACAAAAATGCAGATGTATACAATATTTATTTAAAATTTCCTGTTATTTTTTTCCAAAATACATGTAAGACATCTAAAATAAATGACTATTATTTTTGTATAATCAAATGTAAAGAAATAATTATCAGAATGGCATAAACGCATGTTAGATTTTATTGTCATTAATGTCTTTGAAGTGGAATTTTCTAATCTTATTATAAAAAACTGGTTTAAAATCAATATCAGTGGAAAGACATCATATCAATATTTATCCACATTTCTTGCAATTCTGTATTAAAATCATCTTTTAGTTTCTGAAGTGGGAAATGATATTTTTTTTATTATAGATTTGACAAATTTACCTTGTCAGTTTTAACACATTTAGAAGATAATATATATTTTAAAGAAAATATTTAAATAAATGATTATAAAACTTTTGCAACTTCCGTTTCACTTTAATGCAGATCTGTACCTCTATCACTCTACACAAGGTCTGATCGGGGCGAGTAGGACAGCTCTCCATATACTTCATATAGTCGAGCTAAAATAAACAATTACAACCCCACATTGTACACCAAATGTCATGGTGAGAAAAATTTGCACCCTGACCCCCTGAGTAGGGACTTTAACCCGGAACCCTGAGGATACCGTTCCGCAACTCTAACAACAGAGATACCCGACTGCACTAAGCAGTTCAATACAATGATAAAAATATACAGTCTACCTTCTACCAGTCTTTTGGATATTATCAGCTGATTATGCTATCACAAGTGCTTGTAATGGTCTGTGTCTGCAAGTACCACAGACATATCTCCATCATGCCAGTACAGATTGTTTAATCTTAAAATATCAAAGGGATAATTCACTCTTCGAGATCCCTAATGTAGCACTTAATATTCTTAAGGTATCTGGGGTTACATAGTCATATATAAACAGTGATAAATATCGATATATGTATCCGAAATTATGACAGAATCCGAAATCTACAACATTTTCGAGGTCAATAATTATGAAACAAGAAACTATGACAATACTTACGGTCAATACAGCTACCCGCAACCCAACTTTCACTGATGTAACGTCGGCTACATTTTAAAACTGAGTGCGTTTTCTTCAGAAAATTACTAAATTTGGCAAAATTTTGACAAGCCATTACAATCTCTCCTTTTTTACTGAAGAGCTTTAAATTTGGCGGGACTTTTAATTTATTACCATTTCAGTGGAGATGACTTATCAGACACGCGGGAGTCAGACAGTGACCCCCACCTTGCTCAGTCTTTGTTAAAAATTCTAAGTAACTTAAAACTTTTTAAGACAAGTAGTGCATCTAGTTGTCTCGTTTGATTCCATTTCCACGCGAATAAAAAATATCCTATTTACCTATAAATCTATCTCAATAATCTTATGATAAAAGTTTTTTTTATTTGTTTGGAAATTGTTTTTTTAACAGGATGCGCTCCGGACCATCCAGGCAAAGTCCAGGTGAAGCTACGATTCATGCCGGTGCTTCCCCGGTCGTTCCCGGATGACGCCGGAAGAACCCCGGTTGACCCAGGCAGAGGGTAATGTAACGATTCGCCACAGTTAAATAACGATTCGCCACAGTTAAATAACGATTCGCCTATTGTATAGGCAGAGCACCGGTCGATCTAGGCAGAGCCCCGGCAGAGCCCAGGACGACCCAGGCAGAGTCCCGGTAGAACTCCGGTGGATTGAAAACGCGCAAAAATAATTACATTGATACATAGCTCTAGGATATTTGTTTAGTTCAGTGTAAAGCCTCGGTCTCACTTACTCCCGGCAGAGCCCAGGACCATCCCGGTAAGTTTCCGGGATGATCCGGGACGATCCGGGATGAAATTATTGTTGCGGTCACACTTACCCCGGCAGCACTACGGTAGTTCCCTACTAACCACCCAGGATGCGCTCCGGATCATCGAGGCAGAGCCCAGGTGAAGCTACGGTTCATGCCGGTGCTTCCCCGGTCGTTCCCGGATGACGCCGGAAGAGCCCCGGTTGACCCAGGCAGAACCCCGGTCGATCCAGGCAGAGTCCCGGCAGAGCCCAGGACGATCCAGGCAGAGCCCCGGTAGAACCCCGGTGGATTGAAAACGCCCGAAAATGATAACATTGATACATAATTTTTTATTTAATATAATATCTGTTGTTCCAGAATAGTAATTCATGATGATTTTCTGAAAAATCCTTATGCCATACTGGATAGAAGGGAAATGGGAAGGCTTTTAATACAAACAAGTGCAATCATCGCAAATTGTCGTTATTCTTTTGAAATGATCCGGGCTTTGCCGGGGCTCTACCGGGATCAATCATAGCTCTACCTTTATCCCCCGGGGGCTCTGCCTGTAGTTACCGGGGCTCTGCCGGCATACCGGGGCTCTACCGTAGCTCTACCGGCTATATCATACCTCGGATCATCCCCGGTTTGTGCCGGCAGAGCTACGGTGCTTTCCCGGTATAACCCCGGTCGTTCCCGGCAGAGCTAAGGATGAAGCCGGCAAAGCTATACCTTCCCGGATCATCCCGGACCACCCCAGTAATATTAAATATTTTATTCCATCCGGGGTCGAATGCCGGATGTTCCGGATCATCCCGGATCATCTAGGACGTTGCCGGCAGAGTTACGGATGTACCCCGGTTGTATCCAGGTCGTTCCCGGATCACCCCGGACGTCTACCGGGGCTCTGCTGGGATGTAAGTGAGACTGTAGCTTAAGATCGGAATATATTTCATCGAGTGAGCACCAAAAGGTATATTTAAATTATTGAAAATATGAACTTTTGGTGTTCACAATTAAGGTGAAATATATTTCGATCTTACACTAAACTTAACAAATTTTCTTTTTATTATATGCAAAGAAACGTTTTAAAAGGACATTAAACTTAATACTGAATGAAAAGCGCGCCAAATAATAATAAAACGTGACGTCATTTACGACGTCACGTCATTAAGTTAGTACCCAGTACTATGTTTTATTTAATATTATATCTGTTGTTTCAGAACAGTAATTCATGATGATTTTCTGAAAAATCCTTATGCAAGACTGGATAAAAAGGAAACTGGAAGGGTTTTAATAGAAACAAGTGAAATCATCGCAAATTGTCGTGATTCTTTTGAAATGAACCGGGTTTTGTCGGGGCTCTACCGGGGTCAACCGTAGCTCCATCGTCATCTTCCGGGGCTCTGCCGGCATCCTTTGGGGCTCTGCCGGCATTCACCGGGGCTCTGCCCCGGCCTTCTATGCCGGGATGTAAGTGAGACTGTAGCTTTACGAAGCACAAAAGTGTGCTAATTCTAAAGATTGAGATATAGATCTGAACTTTTAGTGTAAAATTTTGATCAATGCTAGAGCTGCACATGCAAGTAACAATAAATTCATTAAAGATATATAATGGAAATGAATCCTGTGTATGTGTTAACAGAAATACATTTGTAAACTTGTTATCACTATTTCAAAGAATACAGAAACAATACAGGATATGGTCTGTTACAGGGTATATTTCTTGTGTTACGATTCATTTGAAATACTGCAATCCTATTTGACAACACTAAGGATATTATATATGATATAACACTTGGTTTTCAGTCCTGTTATTGTAAAATATATCGTGTGATAATCATAAAATCGTTTATTACCAAGTATTGACGTTGTTAAATAACCGGTCATGTTTGTCCTTTCAATTTCTGAAATTGTTTGAGTCAAGAAAGTAATTTCCGTAATTAAATTATCAATGAATGGTTACACGAACTTCAAAATAATCGATCTGTCAGTTACGACCTTTCTGTTGTTAAAACTAATTTGAGCCGCGTCATGACAAAACCAACATAATGGGTTTGCGACCAGCATGGATCCAGACCAGCCTGCGCATCCGCGCAGTCTGATCAGGATCCATGCTGTTCGCTATCAGTTTCTCTACTTGTTATAGGGTCTGTAAGCGAACAGCATGGATCCTGATCAGACTGCGCGGATGCACAGGCTGGTCTGAATCCATGCTGGTCGCAAACCCAATATGTTGGTTTTGTCGTGACACGGCTCATTATGTTACTTGTAAGAACAGGCTACGATTTCAAATTTAAACATTTCAAAGTTTATTTTTATATTAAATTTGAATGTTTATAATGATTGTATGTTGTTATATTAGTATTGTCACGGATTTAAATTACATGTCAATTAAAGTCTGTGGTATTGTTAAAGTACAATTCTGCATTGAATGATATTGACTGAAATTTTACCACCCTGTGTGAAATATAATAAAAAAGTACATGGACTTTAAACCCGTAAATTTATGGAACTGAACAAAAAGTAAAAAGCCATAACGATCAGTATATAGCCAAGCTTGCCTGCACATCCGTGAAGTCTGGCCAGACACTGTTTGTAGCTCATTTCTTCCCTATTTTTATATTTAAAGACATTAAACTTTGAATGGACTATTCCAAATTCAAAGTAGGGCAAATCTATTATACAAATTCAGCAGGTTTAGTGTTGATAAAAATTAATATTACACATTTGTTCCTTACGAATACGACGTCTGCTTGAACTATAAACAATCTTGTAAATATTAGACAAAGAAATCACAAGATTCACGACAAATTAACCACAGCATTTTCCCCCCTATGTATAGTAAATATATAAGAAATGCAATGTTTTATTGGTGATCTTTGCTCACTTAAGTAAACAATTTATCTTTTATTATTTTATGATACAAAGTTACGTCTACAATAATTAGTATCACTTTATCCTAAAGCACGTTCAAGATTACGTCAATGAACATCATTCGAGTTAGGTAACGTAATAAATTACGTTAACGTGATACAAGATGACGTTTGAAACAGGTACAATACCAATGTTCCTGAATGGTAAACATAATATTCACTTGTCTAAAACCTTACACATACCAATGTAGTTTACATAAACAATTTAACTGGACAGAGAAAAAAGCAATTGTTTAATCTATGTTTGCGTAATCTTTTAATGATAATAGAAATACACATTTCATTAAATTAGACATTATACATGTATATATTGCATTATGATTAAAACGCTTATTTGAATTTGCCGTAGCTTTCGATCTTTCGGCTTTCTTCAGCAGCATTTATTATACATACAAAAATAATTAAACTCTTTTAAGGATCCAGACAAGGCGCTTTTAAGATGCGTTATATTTACATAAATGACAGCTTCCGGTGATTCCTTACTAGTATTTTCACACTAGTCGGGTTTAAGAAGCCAGAAGAGAAACTCACATCTGAAGGGATTTGAACCCATGCCCTCATGATTATTAGAAGACCCCTTTACCATTCCTCCCCATATACTACAAGTAGCTTCATTTAAGATCCGAAAATATACTTGCCGAACTGAGTATAATTATATAGAATAATATAGATCATAATGGCACCCAATTGCCACCATACTGTTAACGGTTTTGTTATAAACGTACGACAAAGCGCTACAACAGTTTCAACACAAGTTAACATGATAATTTGACAGATAACAAAACGGAAGAGAGAACGGATACGACCAATACAATAGACAACAACGCGACAATGAGATCGGAAATAGATATAAAACCAACAGCTCGAGATACTTGTGGAAAGTTTCGTAATTTCAAGTTATCGTTAAGTTTGTGCTTTACAGGAGGACGAAAAATATTATAAAGCTGTGTGTTTTCTTGAGTTGATATGATTTATTTAAATAATGAAACGTTTTATGAATGTTTTTAACGTGATACAAATTTGCATGGATATCTACTAAATTTTTTTTTTTTTAAAGATTGTGTACATGTAGTGATTTGGAGTATCAAAAGAAGTATGTGTGTACTATGTAAGCTCTATAATGAAAATGATGTTTGCTTTGAAAAAAAATGATAGACATCCGAATGCAGATAAAAATGAAGGAATTATAATATGAAGGAATTATAATGTATCAGCCTATCTGATAAACGTGATATATTTGCAGTATATACAGCCAGAAGCAGGATATTATTCATAATGAATTTATTAGAAACATATATACTTTACATATATAATACATTCGTACAATTTGTAGTGTTGATATCTAAATGAACCATTATTACTTTTTTTACAAAATATCAAAAACAATCATGGATATAATTCTATAAAGTCTATGAAATTCCAGGGGTATCTTCAAAATCGAAATGTTAGAAATGAAATTCTTTCACGTGCATCGTTTATTGTGATTGTCTTAAATACCGATTTAAAATAATAGCGTATGCGATAAAAATCTATTACATGCATGCTTTGTTTATGACTTGTCATGCATTTTTTACCTTACTTAAATACATTAATTCACTGCATGTAAGTTTGTATAACCGGTATAAAAAACATTTTCAATTTCATAATAATAAAACACGGAACATTACTACAAAAAGCGGTGTATATTATGGTCATTATATGGACAATTTGTACAGGTTATTCAACTGTGTTTTTTTTTCTTCGTGAAATTATTTCTGATGTGTTCATTGTGAGAATGATGTATGACTGTCATAATTGTGAATAATTAGATAATTGAATGGATTTAATAGAATTACAAGTCTCAAGGACCTCCAATATGCACTTATAATATTGAAAGAACGCAATACGTGGACGTGTTTTTATACGTGACAACGCTTACCAAAATTATGAATTTGTAAAATGTAATTCACGGTATTAGAAAAGGTTCTACAATACTTGTTGTTATAAGATAAGCTTTAATTAAGCAAATATTTGTTTTCCTAAGTAAAACACCTGTTTATATTTTCGTGATATATCATAAAATATTTTAACAGAAGCTTTGTCGTGTCAGACAGCACGTGTCAGGCAGCACGTGCGGAGCTGATATTACTGACAAGAACTGATAACTACTGGCAAAGACCAGCACGGAGAACTCGACTAATTACAGTGGATAGTGATGAATGCGTCTTTAGTTCTTTGTGTAAAGTAACTTACATTGAAATATTACCTCTGTGATAAAGATATACTCGGCATGCCAAACATCCTAGAAAGTGTTAATAAATAACTGACAAAACAACAAAACCTAATTTTTGCAACCATTCTGGCACTGTGCAGGCGTTAACAATGTCTTCTCCTATATTCCGACGCCTGTCAATGCACCATAAAAACCGACCGTTCCGAATAGTAATTCTTGGTCAAAATGGTGTAGGAAAATCAGGTATGTAGTGTTTTTATAGTGCATTTAGTGCTGAAAGTAAGATTATATAAGTCACTTTCGTAAGTATGACGTGTATATCAACAAAAGTAGGTCTATTATCAATTTGAAAATCATTGTCCATTCCATTGGTGTCAGTTACACAAAAGGTGAAATATTTTGACTATTATTTTTTTCCTTAAATATTGTAACTTATTGAAATAATGACGATCGATATATTTTGAACTGATTTAACTGTCGACTCACTATTATAAACAGTTATAGATCTAAGAATTTAAAAAAAGGAGATATTTGAATGTAAGCAATGTTGTAAGGAATTTGCGTACCGATTAAGTGCACGGATAACGCATGCTCTGAAATAAATCTCTGGCACAGAAATATTCGAGGCAATAATTATCAGACACGCAGCACGTTAAAGTCCCACTTTCAATTACTCGTATGTTTTCTCGTAGTATGATATCTACAATACGCCAACATATATCAGATATGATTAAATATTTCAGCGTGTGTCCCATAAACAATAATAGACAAATAGTTCACTAAACTGTGCATACAAGTAACTTTGTAAGAAAGCAACAAGATAAAACTAGAGAAAAAAGTCGTTGAATTATTTCTAAAACATCGTGAAAATTGTAAAAGAAGCAAGTGAACAAATCATGTTTCGACTAATCACGTGCACATTTTTTAAGCGTCCAGAATTCATTAATTGATTTTCTTAATACAAACATGGTGCTTCTCGTTCTTTCTGTTCGTCTGTCTTCATTCGTCTCTTTACGGAAAACATTCATCTTATCTAATCTGGATACAGTGGACATCTGAACTATAACATTAATCTAGCTTAACTCTTAGTGACCTTGACTTCTAGGAGGAAATTATGATTCGATTTCCAGTGTGGTGTATCTAATACAAGAAGAACGGTAAATGTTGTACACTAGTATACATCTTAAAATTTTAAGCAAATACCATGATAGCTGAAAGTTATTACCCGTTTAAAGGCTACATAAATAGTCATTTTTCTTTATGTATTTGCACAGTTCTTTCAATTACCGCCATTATAGAATGATTTTAACAGTCAAGTGATCTTGAAAACAATAAAAACTGTACACCGGGCGTTATAATGTGAACATGACCTGTGTGAGGTCACATTTATGAGGTCATCATGTAATTGTAACCTAATGAAATACTAGTATATTATATAACTGTACCTATTGGGTCAAATGTCACAAGACAATCAATTTAAGTTACGTAAATACTGTAAAGAACATGCGCGGATATAGAAGGGGGAGGGTTCCAGGGGTCATGACCCCCTCCATCGGGATTTGGCTAGTATATATTACCCATTTGAGATATCAACTTACATATATTTTAGCGAAAATCACACAAACTGGTGAAAATCAGCAATATTTGGCTCATGACCCCCATTGAAAAATAGTAATATTGCAACACTTATTTTTTAAGAATTTGTATTACCCATTGTCGATCTCCAAATGGATGTGTACGAAAGACCGATGATGGCATTTCAACTTCTTGAATTATCGTGTTTATCTTCACGAATTTACGGTTTCAACTTCATAAAGTTGAATTCATGAAGTTGAAACCGTTGAAATCGTGAATTCGTGTAATTGAAATTGTGAATTCGTGAAATTGAATTATAGTGAAGTCCAAAACAAGAATACGCGAAGTTGAATTCGTCAAGTTCAAATTGTGAATTCATGAAGTTAAATCGTGAATTCGTGAATTTGAAATCATGAATTCATGAAGTTAAATTCGTGAATTCCGTATTTAGAAAACGTGAATTCGTGAAGTTAAAATTGTGAATTCACGAAACTGAAATCGGAAATTTATGAAGTTGAAATGTCCCCACCGGTCTTTCGTAGATGTGCATGCTTTATTTCAGTGATGACTATTTCTCTTTTATTTCATCAGCAGCAACTCATCCTTTAACATTCAGTTCAGTGTAGCACATTGATATTCAAGTAATATATCAGATATGTATACAGCGCCAATATTGATATACATAATGTGTGTAATTTTATTACATACACTATATATCCACTATTGTCTCGGAAAATATTAAACTACTCAAGTGCTTCAGATTCTTAATCATTTCTAAATTTCTAAGAAAAATAAAGATAAAGTGCGTCGGATATTACAAAATAATATGTACATGTACATGTTTTGATATTTTTCTTCAAAAGTATATTCATGCTCGTAGTTGAAACCGTGTCAAACGACTACAACAACAGCAAAAACTTGTGAACATTGTCTAAGTGATTGAGAGAAGGAGTGATATTTTTCCTAAATAAAATGACAAGATTAAATTAGCTGTCTTTTATACAGGCTATAAACATAGGCTTGAAGTCATAAAGTTATGACGTAATAACATTTCTAACCTTGTTGACCTCTCATCTGTACACATACCGTGATATACAATATATAATGACGTCATTATACCTATATTCAATATATATGTAACAAGATATTGCTTTCTGCAAATTTAATAAGATTTCTGTCTGCGAACATATGATTGTACGCTTTTCATCGACGTTGACTTTAGACAAGAACAATGCATACGTCCGTACAAGCCAATAAATGCATTTACATGTATATTCTTTTCAAGAAAATTGACTTTAGACAAGATCCGTACAAGCCAATAATTGCATTTATATTCTTTTCAAGAAAATTGACTTTAGACAAGAAAATGCACACGTCCATACAAGCAAATAAATTAATTTATGTTCTTTTCAAGAAAATTGACTTAAGACAAGAAAAATGCACAAGCCCGTACTAGCCAATAAGTTAATTTTGAGATTGGTGTCGTACTTTTTGTTTTGAGGCGACATATATTTGAATGCAACGCGATATTAGAAACAACTAACCGGTTACCACGTACATTGTCTTGTTAAGCTATACTTGGTTAATGCCTCTAAACTTGATAAAAGTAACCGTATTATTTAGATTAAATGGCGACAAACTATTTTTTTCATACCTAGGTTGTAAAGTACTAAATGTTATAGCTCTAATTATCTCAACCTTGTAACATTGTTTTTCTTTAAACAAGAATATTGGGATAATGACGATTGAATCAGACACACAAATGTGAACTTCTTTGCAGAGATGAGTAAATTGTGTTTTTTTCTGATTCACTAAGACACTCACATACAGATTTGAAATGTTTTGGCTGAAAACTTCATTGCTTTGTATGACAAAACGACATATAGACATATGACATTAGTACCGTGACATTAGTGATGACGTAATAATGTTCGTGACGTTGACTACTCGACATTTTTAAAGTGAATTGGTCAATAATGAAAGGTCTGAACTACTATAAATAAGTTCTACCTTGATAATTCTGTATATTTGGAGATGCTGACTTAAAAACTCATCAGCCTTAATGGAGATTATCAATCATTTATATTCCTAGATAGTAATCAGTCATCGAATATACTAGTATACAAGATGAAAGAACGAGATTAGTTTTATTATAGACGCATACATTCATTGACCGGACATTTACTGGCTCTTTGACCATCTCTCTTCGTAAAACTGGACACTGGCTATTATTTAGTACATATCTTAAATAGATTTATGAATTGCGGTAAAAATACTGACAGACGAACATACTACAAACAGACTGAAATATTCTCTATGTATTTAACGAACATATGTTATAAAATAAGATAAAAGTATTTACAGATCTTATACTACAAGTTAGTGGAGATGATGGATCTAAAAATCATCAAAAAAATAATTGGTTGGGAGGGGTGGAGTGTGGATGAAAGGGTGGGGTAACCAGAAGTCTAATTAGGATGATATGTTAGCTACGTACTAGTATTACGCAATGGTCAACATTTGTTAACACTTATTTGTTGCCTTTATTGTAGCTCAAAATATATGTGAAGTCAGTCACCTGATCGATTGCTCGATCAATTATCGATTTCATATATTCGTATAATTAATATATAATACTATGGTGTCCTATACTTGCCATATATGCAAATTGTGAACCCAGTTTTAAGTTTATTGTACATCTCTGTTTGCATACATACAAATACAAGAGAAAATACATGTTAAATACGGTACATACCATACATATTATGTATACTACATGTATGTGAACCCAAATTCGCGGTATGATAAAAAAGTGAAAAAGATTATACATTGTACTGATACTGATATTGAATAATTAGTGTGATATCCGAATGTCACGTAAGCTGCCTATGAGGTGCCGAACATAAATGAGCCGCGCCATGACAAAACCAACATAATGGGTTTGCGACCAGCATGGATCCAGATCAGCCTGCGCAGTCTGATCAGGATCTAGCTGTTCGCTTACAAACTATTACAAATAGAGAAACCGATAGCGAACAGAATGGATCCTGATCAGACTGCGCGGATGCGCAGGCTGGTCTGGATCCATGCTGGTTGCAAACCCATTACGTTGATTTTGTCATGACACGGCTCAAATTTGGTATGTTTATATCCGAAGCGGTGATACATTGACAGGTTAAAAAGTTAAATTGTGTCAAATTATCAGGGACATAGATAATATTCCTGCCGTTATAATCAAATGTTAGATAGTTTATCACCCTAAAAAAACATCCCTGTTTTCATTTTGTTTCAAATATGTTTAAACAGACGTACATTACATATCTAATACAACTGATACATTTTATAACCTCAGTAAACATTTGGGGAAATTGCAGTGAGAAGATGAAATATATATTAAAATTTCTTACCCGGTCACATTAATGCAATAGTGTTACATTTAACACCTGTATCGACTTAGTACGGTATTATAAAACATTAACATGATTATAACATGGTATTCAATTGATATACCATTTTCCAATTGTCAGTATTTGACGTCATGGTTTCACATAATGAGAAATCCTGTAGGTTCTGTGATGCCCACATTTTTACATTCATGTTGGGTTCATTCTAATGTAAGCTCAATAAATATCGTAGTTTTTTTTTGAACTGTTGTTTTTTATCATAATTTCAACTGCACAGTAGTACTTATAATGTTATAAAATGTGACCAGTTGTATTATTATTATTATTATCATAATTATTATTATCATTATTATTATAATTATTATTATTATTATTATTATTATTATTATTATTATTATTATTATTATCACCATCATTATTTTACTATTATTATTATTATATTATTAAATATTATTATTATTATTATTATTATCATTATTATTATTATTACTATTATTATTTTTATTATTATCATCATTATTATTATTATTTATATTATTATTATTATTATTATTATCATTATTATTATTATCATTATTATTACTATTATTATTATTATTATTATTATTATTACTATTATACTTCTGAGGTGCATAAAACAATTTATCATGTTATTACATTAATTTCTGTTTATAAAGTGTATGTCTGATTAATTAAGCTTTATCAGCCACAGACACCTCATTAATACATATTGAAATAAAATGGAGAGAATTAAATATGTTTTACCGTATACTGATTTGAAAACACTAAATTGATAAAACTTTGAATCGAATAGATTGTTTGAATATTGAAGTCTCTCTCACATTGGACTAAAACATTTGGGACTATTTCCTATAGATCTATATGACCCTTAATTGGCATATTACTGCGCTCGGCATGACAGATTTTTTGACATTTTTTGTTTCGTTTGGTAAGAAACACATATTAAAACTGAAAGCGTGATAACAAGTGTCTAATATTATAAAATTATCGGGCTCGCCACGAAATATTTTTTTCTTTTCTTTGCCTGATTAATTTTGTAATGCCAGACACAAGCATGGTATTCTCTATATATTTGCTACATATAAAGCTAGTTATTACAGACTAATTTCTGAATTTGGAAATAAATAATTTCCAAAATACCTGTTTGACAGAAATACATGTTTTAATTTAGAGCGAATGATGCATTCACAAAATCATTGATTATATTCTAAAATCTTTCTGGTCCAAAGCATTATATCCTGTTTACATACTATTTTCATGTGAGACATCCTATGTAACAATATTTTGCGAATCGGCTTATAGAAACACCATAATTTTACTATAAACAGATTTTACGAAAATGTTTCATTAGATCTAAATAGCTTTATATCCCAAGAAGGGGTCAGTGGAGAAATCGCATTTATCTTGTTTGACTAAAATGTGTATGCCTGTATCTTTATCACAATGCAGGTTAACTCAACTTGTGTTTAATAATTTCATAATGAAAATAGAACTTAAAAGAATACATGGTGCACAAAAATTAAAAAGAGTCAAACCATGATGAATTTTATTGGTTTAAATATTATGATTCTATTATGTAACGTTTTTTTCTCTCTTCATTTCAGCCTTGACAGTGCGATTCCTTACACAGAGGTACATAGGAGATTATGCCCCAGATCTAGGTATTTAACTTTAACTTTTGTACATGTATTTTGAAATAAAATTATAAATAAGTTTTTTCTTCGGATGCGTAAATATATTAAAAACATATCTGAGAGAGACTTTATCTTTTTTCCCCACTTTGTTGTGATATTAAAATATAATACTGCTGAAAATTTGGTTAGGATAACGTTTTCCAAAAGTAAAGAATCTGGTTTCACATGTGTAACAAATATATATCTCCACATATGGATGTTACAAACTATATTTTGTGCAATAAATTTTATAAACTTTTATAATAAACATACTTTTATAATAAACATTTACATTTTTTGGACTTATACAATATACCACTATGGGTGTTTTATACATAATGATATAGCATCGGTTACCTTTCTTCTAACCATGCAGTCTTAGTGTTATAACGATGTTAAAGATGATATGAGCCGCGTCACGACAAAACCAACGTAATGCGTTTACGACTGTTCGCTATCAGTTTCTCTACTTGTGATAGATAGGTAAGCGAGCAGCATGGATCCTGATCAGACTGCGCGGATGCGCAGGCTGGTCTGGATCCATGCTGGTCGCAAACCCATTATGTTGGTTTTGTCGTGACACGGCTCATATGTTTCATTTTTGCAACTTTCAGAGAACACGTACACATACAGTAAATGTCTTGACGGTGAAACGGTAACCATGGAGATAAGAGACACGGCAGCTCAGGTAAACTTTTAACTTCTGATATATCCATGTAATAATCCAGACATAAATACTTGTAATTTAAAAAAGACAAAACATTTATATAAGATAAGAATAACATTGAATGTTTTGAAATTGTAACAATTTGTTTTTTTTAACAATTCTTGTACAAGAACTGTCTGAATGAAACATTCATCAAAGAAACTTTTATCTGATAGAGAGTAAAAATACACAAAGAATGTGATAACTGATAATTGATAAATGTTACAACATTCTTTGACTGCTCAAAAGTACTAAATATTCTCTTCATTTTGCGGGCATGAAATTTCGTAGTTTTACCACAAAAGACTTCTGATTGCACATGTGCTGTTACATGGATTATCTATTTTTGCAAAACAAGTAAATATATGCAGGCCTCGACATTAGCGGTGGTCCGTTGGTCCGAGACCACCTGATTTTGGCAAGGACCACCTAATTTTAAAATGCACTGGTCCGTCGAACCACTTGAATTTTCTGGTTTGTGCAAGGCTCATTTGGGAGAATGGCGATTTGGTCAAAAACATGTTATATATATTTTGTTTAAAACCATTTGTCCTATGAACATGTATATGGTTCATTAATAGATTAATCTGATAAGTTAAAGAAGGTCTTAAATCATCAATAACTTTCATTTTAAGTCGCTAAAATTTTGTCTATGCAAGTTAAAAGAGTTAAGAATTTGTGATATTAAGCTAGGTACAAATTGCATTCAAATGATGCTAGTAATGATGCATCGTCGGATAACCACGGTGGAACCTTTAACATTTATGTTATGTTACATGTTAATCACACGTGGGTATCCGACGATGGTAATTATGATATTGTATGGGATACCGTATGAACTTTCAATTTCATATAGTTACATGAATAATGGCAGCAAACTAAAGGAACTTGAGAAATACATCAAGTTATTTGCTAGTTATCTTTATTTTAACTTTTTAACGCTAAGAGATCCATTTCTTCCAGAGTTAAAATTACTATTTTTTTTAAATTATTGATAAAAGGTTAAAAATACTCAATGTAAAAAATAAATATCAACCAACAAGCAACGGGGCGGTAAAAATTCTGTATTCATAATAAATCTGTGAGAAAAATAAGCTAAACTATAGTTATATATAAAGTTGTTTTTATTTTTTATCCTTTAGATATTTCCTTGTTTTAAGATAATTTATTAGTTTTTATTAAATTGTTAATCTATAAAAGATAGATGTAATTATCATGATTATAAGACGTACCACGTATCAGCAATGTATATTTGAATAACAGTAAGAAAAAAACCCAGACACAAATGGTTTCACTATTCCCTAACTTGAGTTGAGACAGAAATCACTTCAATATATAAGTTAACACAAATAAGAGCCCTGTTGTGTATTTTTGAATGAGCTATGAAAAAACAACAACAAATAACTTCACGACAGAATACCTACTAACTTGCTCTCAGATAAAAATATATATCTAAAATGTCTGTTTTCTTTAAAGCTTAATAATACATCTTTGTCATCAATTTTTAGCATACTTTTTTCTAAACTTACAGTAAACTGATATAATAATAATAATTGACCACTTGACTTCTGGAAGGACCACCTTAATTTCAAATCTAGTGGTCCGGCTTACCACCTGATAAAAAAGTTAGTGTCGAGGCCTGTATATGTAGAGAGAATGTAAAGAAAAATGAACATAGGATTGGCAAAATAAAATTTCGATGGAACATAAAGTCATGGATCAGACTTATCAATAAAACCCACAAAAATAAATGACCATGAAGAAGAATGTTGCAGACGTACACAGTAGCTAAGATACATGTCGTTTGTTGTTAATTTGATTGATTAGTAGGCTGGCATACTTTATACAGTCGGATGCAGGCATATTCAAAATAGTTACCTTAAAATTAAAGTGAATTAGAAAAAAACACCTTATTTATCACCATTTGCTTCAACATAAAACCTTTGTACAGGTTGCTATCACACTTTTTCCACGAACAATTTCTAACTGCCCTGATTTTCTTACTATTTCAGGTAGAGAATAACAGACTTGAAGCTAATATCAAATGGGCAGATGCATTCGTATTAGTTTATTCAATTACTGACAGGTGTAGTTTTAACGAATGCAGCAGACTCAAAGTTTTGATCAATTCATATGCAAAAAGTAAAAAACCCAATTCACAGAATTCTTCATCCTTACCAATGGTTCTTGTAGGAAACAAAAGTGATCGGACACATGACCGTATGATCTCCACGGCCGAGGGACGAGAAAAGGCGTATGAAATGAACTGTGCTGCATTTTATGAAATTTCTGTGCGCGAGGAACGCGACAGTGCAAGTGGTATATTCTTAAATTTGTATAAAAGTTATAAGCGACCTGGCAGACGATCGGGACGTTCCGAGCTCCAGCAAAGACTGAGTTGTCCCCCTTCCTTACAATTTACTCCGGAACTAACAGATTCAGAAAGAGCTAAAATCCCGTTACGAAGGCGTAAAGCGTTGTATACCATAAGTTGAAAGGAAGGTGTATAATTATTTAGTCATTCCATTTTTTTTTATTCTGTTTGTTTCCGGTGGTGGAATTTTATGTAATTCATCTCTGGTATTCATTTGTTGTTGACACTATATGCTAGTTTCAGCGCAACAATAAGAACTATATGTAAGAGAAAACGCTGAATTGTAGTCTAATAAAAAAATTGTCTTTTTAATTGAATAATGATGATGTTGTTAGATTGTTAGTTTTCATGAATCATGAACTGTAACATTTTCCTGAAAATTAGTCCCAAACAACTACAAGACATCGATTTTTGTTCTTTAACATGTATGTATATCCACTGAGCTATATTTAAATAAGTATCTGGTATATCCAAGCATTTTTAGCTTTTCTTCATACAAATAAAATGATCTCTGATAATCGTACATGTTTCATCTTTGTTTTTGGTACATTATTTTTTGTAAGTCCTATTGTATGTGTGAGCATTGTGACATTGTTAATGTTGTAGTGTCAATATATTAAGGAGTTCTGTTAAACAAAAGATAAATAATAGAAATAGCATCGGAACACGAGGCTATTTGATTTGTAGCCCCCGAGTATAAATCAGATTGCCGAGTGTTTTGATGTTCTTTCTCTTTTGTATTATAGTCAAACATAAAAACACGTTCCCTGTTGTCACAATATGAATCCCCAGAAAAAAGTAACCCATGAAAGAGCATCTGAATATGATATTTCTATCGCTTTCCCTTTCTCTGCTGTCACAATAAGTAAACCCCAGCAAAAATGAGCCAATCAATGGGCATGCTCTGGAGTGCGGGTAACTAATACCTGCACTCCAGTTAACGCACTGTGCATGTATAGGTATACGATTTAACTCTGACACATTTTCAACAGAAAGGTCCCAAAACTATGATACAAGAGATCGGAAATATTACGTTTTTATGGAATGGTGTTTATATAGCAACTTTACAATTCAAGCTGCGTAACTACTCGTGATTATTTTCTGAAATGTAATAGGAGTTACTTCCCTTTGACTTGATCCGCTACAAGGTCACTGTTTCGATCATTACTGTATGAAATGTCCAGCCACATTTAATAAAATTAATTTGTTTAAAAAAATGAGAATGTACAGCATAAGATAATAGTTAACTGTTTATCCTGCACCATGTATGACATAGTAACTAACTTTTGAGGCGAAGATCATTTGTTAAACTAGAAGTGACATGCAGTACAGCAGATATTATTTGGAACCTTGTCTTAATTTTTTTTGTTAAATGATACAAATGTCTTCCTTTTTTTCAGTGTAAATAGCTGAATTATAAAAGGTAGAGATGATGATTAATACCTTTTTCAATTATTGAATATACATGAATCTGCAGACACACACTGTGCATTTATTCACTTATATGGTCAGATTTGATTTATTCGTTGTTTAATTTTTGTCATAGTAATATATTCTTAATCTGCTTGAATTCATATAAACTGAAAGCTGAACATTTTAAATGGTTACTTAGCAACAAAAATTTCAAAGATGATTTATTTATCTCAACTTTCTCATAGTCCTTTCAAAGTAGGAGTTGGTGTATAAATTTTGCGGTCAAGATTTTTAATTTTCTGTTTAACATTACTATTCCAGCATTATAAGGTATACATTTTTTACACGAAACAACATTACAGTGTATTGTATTGTGAAATTTCAAGGGGAGATAACTAGAATAAACAGTCTACAATAAATTTAGGTTTCTATAAACTGAGTAAATGTATAATGCATGAAATTTACACAACTGCTTTTGGTATGGCAGCATGTATTTCTGTCTGTTGTTGATGATGATAATAATGATGATGATGATGATGATCAGCTGAAGATTATGAAGAAGAAAAAGAATGTGATGATGATGATGATTATGATGATGATAAAATGATGATGGGGATGTTGTTGATAATGATCATGATGATGATAATACATGAATGACGATGATGATAATAATGATAATTGTGTTATCTTTATTATAATCCTACTTTTATAAGACATAGACAGTACCGGTATAATTTATCATGGTGCGTGTCATACATTACTGAAAGTCTAACTATCTGTTAATCCGTTTATTATGCTGTTTTTCTTTCTTTATTTTTTATTTTTTTTTATTTAGATAATTATGTAATATACAGTTTATAAAAATGAGTGTGCGGTAATGTGAAGTAGCATATATTAGTGACACCGACTTGGATCATACGGTGACTTACCAGCCTCCCAAAGTATCGGAAGATCCCAAAATATATTTGTTTGCATTATATTTCTGGCTAGAGTCATAAATCGTCTTTAGAGTCGTTGAATAATATACTCCCTTGATAGAAATTACCATCCAGAGAAACCCCACTCACCGATACAGAGATACAGAGAAATAATGCAAGGGAAACAACTTCATTCAAATTATTTCTTTGTGCTATCTTTATTATCTCCCATTAATCAACACTGTGTCAGAAGGTGTGTGTGATGATTTTATTCTTATTTTTATCTACATGAACAATAAATAACAACAACAAAAGAAACACAAAAATACTATGACACTTTGTTTTTGTCAATTGTTTTTACTGTAGAAAAGTGTTACAGTTTAAAAAGATATACGGTAAGTTTGAAAGAAAAGAGACTACCAAATATTGTTAACGATGGTAATATTGAGATGAGATTAAAGACATTTTATAGTCTTTGCAAGGCAAATACTAATATATAGCAGGGAAATTCTGCTCATAACCATGATCAATACTAACATCGCATATACATGATCAATGTACAGACGGCGCATAACCATAATCAATGTACTAACGACGCATAATCATGATCTATGAACTTACGACGCTTGATCAATATCAATGAACTGACGACGCATAACCATGATCATTGTACTGACGACGCATAACCATAATTAATGTACTGACGACGAATAACCATGACCAATGTACCGACGGCGCATAACCATGATCTATGAACTTACGACGCATAACCACCATCAATGTACTGACGACGCATAACCGTGATCATTGTCCTGACGGCGCATAACCATAATCAATGTACCGACGGGGCATGACCATGATCAATGAATCGACGGGACATAACCAGGAACAATGTTCTGACGGCGCATGACCATGTAAATGTGCTGATGGCGCATAACCCTGATCAATGTTGTGACGGCGCATAACCATGATCTATATACTGACGAAGCATTCATACACTTACATACGTACTAGTAAATAAGGTTATTCTAGATGACTATCGTAATTACTGTATCTTAAATGAACTTGTAGTTTTCAACTATCTTTTAATATAGTCTTATAGTATACATACTTTTTAATGCGTATATGTTTTACTGTTACAGTTTACCTCAAATCACAATGTACCAGAAGTTTTTCAGCGACACAAAATTTTAATAAAAGTGATTTTTCGTGATTTTCTTTTTCATTTCTCACTTTCTAACTTAGCTATACAGCTAATAATATGGTCTTTTCTCCCCCCCCCCTTTTTGGAGGGGGGGGGAGGAGGAGGCGAGAAATGAGGGGGGGGGGGCGTTGTTTAATATTCTTTTATTCAAATTATGAAACCTGTACAGAATAACGATATAACACTAAAAAAAACAATTAAAAAATACATGTACAATTAAAAACTCTACTGTCCTAAAGTCAAAGAAAAATTAAATGTTATAATAGTCAATGGGAAGAAGTCTTGTACTAATAACAACGATGTACCACGATAAAGATAAAAATAATAATTAAATGACTGTCTTAGAAAAATAGAAATAAATGTTGTATCATAATATAATTTATTCACAGCAGTAAAAAACAGTCACGAATAGCACTTCCTTTTCTCCAAAGAATATTATGTCAGTTTTTGACCCACACCCCTATGTCTCAATATTTGGAAACAATAAATCGGTCTTTGGAATATGGCAGAAATATATGAGTTCAATTTTCTGTAATAAAAAACTACAGTTCTCATATTGTAATCAATATAGAAGGGTACCAAAACATGTTTTGTGGCGTTTAATTGATCGGATCTTTCCGGTTTACAGACAAAACATCCAATTTTGTGATCATATTATGCACAATTAGCGGTTTTAAGTTTTCACGAATAAGACAAAAGGCGTCCGAAAAGCAATCACGGTGATCGTAAGTCAATCACGATCATGAGAATCACACGTTGAAAGTGAAACCTCTGACCTTCGCGTTTCCAGTTGATCGCAACAGTCTTCTGGCATGTCAAACTTATATCCCAGGGTTCCAAATTAATTGTTTGCATTGTGGCTTTATTGTCAGAATATTTGAATATTTCTATAACAAATTGCCCGCGTGCAGTGAAGAGAAACTTCCCCTGATTTATGACTGTTCATAATGCTAGATATATGCTCGCATTCCTTCTCCAACATTTCCGCTATAGAACCCTTAATGTCTCAGAAATCACGGTTCGTTTCCAAGACTTTTTGTTTTGTTTTAAGCTTTAAAATTTTAGAAATGGTAAATAGCATTCTACTAAATTTTAAATGTCAGACACGTCATCACACGCGAGGAGAATCTAGATATATCACATCAAGCTCTCCGGAGGTTTTCTTAAAATATAGGACACCATAATAAAACACAAAAATAATAATGTCGATGTTGCATGATGGGACATTGCAAACGGTTACAACGATACGAAAATCTCAATCGAACTATAGACGAATCAAACATGCCCAACAATTATTAAGAACTTGTCCGGTATAAAATCGGCCAGCTGTGTGAGTGAGTATGCATGCCTGCAACGAACAAGGAATTCATTGTTTAAAATATGTTTGAAGATACTGAAAAAAAGATAACGTTTTTCTTTTTTACTGATTGTTAACATCATCATGCACGCCATGTTAATGCTAAAATTGCAATGTTTGCAACATCATGCCTAATCTATATGTGCCGATAAAAGTTCATAAGTTATTTTGAACGGGGTATAAATTATAATTACACCGTTTAGGCGCCTCTTAACTTTTGTAAATCTTTTACTAGACTGTAAATTAATGGACGAATTTTATATACGGTATACAATCTACACGTTATCATAAAATGTATTATTTATTTATCTCTCTATCAAAATGTGTTTAAGATTCCTATCGTTAAGTGAATTAAGGGAGAAAATCAGATTTTATCACAATTTGAATTATAAACACCTTTTTGTGTAACTAACAATGTTTTATTCCACCCAGGTGCGAATAAAGAGGAAAATGACTTTCTATTAATTTTTTAATACTATCATTTCATCGTCGTCTTAACTACCTCGTCTTTTCTGATCATAAATCATTTGTTTTCTATAATATTGCGCTCGAAAACTATAACACGATAAAACCCAACGTCATTACAACGCCATATCTCGAACAATCAAAATATTAAAAGCGACCACAAAAAA